CTACATTGAAGCATAAAATCGAATATTAACGTCTTTTTTAAAAGACGTTTTAGTCGGAAATCTCTTGATGGTATCAGGGAGCGTGTTCCAGAGCCGCGAAGGGTTTAAGATAAAATACCTGTAATTTGAAAAGAAACTAATTAATCAACAAATCGTTACAGTGGATCTATATATATATATATATATATATATATATATATATATATATATATATATATATATATATATATATATATATATATATATATATATATATAAATGTTCCTCATTTAAAATGTCCATAATTTAGAAATGTTCATGTTAAAATTTAAAATTTTGTACGTACTTGTAATTAATTAATGCATTCGTAATATGACGGTGTCAAAATGTATTTACAATAATTAAAGCCAACACCACAACAAAGGTTCAAACACTGGTTTTTAATTAGCAGTAGGCTTGTACGAATCCTTTATGATTCTTATATGAGATTATTGTGTGAAATTATATGTTCATATATTCATTTTATAAAATGAAAATTATATATGTCTACTTATTTTGAAAATCGATATTCTACAAAACATAACCTTACAAACATCGTCATCATATCAGCCTTTAACTATCCACTGCTGAATATAAGCCTTGAGGGGTTATGCCAGTAGTTGTCATACTTGACAGGTGGATTGGCAACTGCAGTTAGGCTTTGCAGATGTTTTAAGAGGGACGCTGCTGCCCATCCCTCGACCTCCCTTAGTTATCTCTTACGACATCCATGTGAAAGTAAAGTCCTAATTCCATTTTTGTATGTTCAGATTATTTTGAACATTAAAAAAATAATCACCTTATGTAACTATCAGTATTTAATTTTTTATATAGCTATAAGAATTACGATGTAAAGATGTTTGTATGTTTACAAAATATGGCTAACTGGATTGTGACGAAATTTTTTCCTAATGTTTGTACAAATAATCGTAGAGTGCATTGTAATATACATTTACAATAATGTACATTTTTTGTGTTGGGGAATAAAAGGATTGTAAGTAATTCAGATTACTAGTCACATTGTTAGCAATACTCTGTTTTCATTCACTTGATAGGTGAGATTCCCTTATTAGTGCTCCGTCATCGTATACCGTTAGCGTAGGCATTTTGTTAACGAGAATCTTAAACGAATAAAAACTTCACTACTTTTTTATTCTTAAGGCTCGTTGTAAATGCTACGATTATAAATTTAATTATAAAATTGGTCGAGTCGTTGAACGTCAAAAGCAACCGGATAGAAGTTGACTTTGAACTTTATGTCTTATATTAGTTAGGATTAAAATTTATCCGTTGACCGTTTTTATATTCAAAGTTTCTATGTGGCGTTTTAATTAACTCTACGAAGCAGGTGTGCACATTTTAATTAATTTCTTCTTATACAGATTCAATTGTCGTTTTATATTTATTTAAGAGTTTAGTATATTAATGACTTTATAATATAAGGTTGTGAATATAAAAGTAGTATGTGATAAATTGTGAACCTTTGAGTAGATAAATAGGATTTTTGCGTGATAGAATCCGAAATGAGGATATCCGTAAAAGAGTCAATGTGTCAAAATAGCCTGAAGGATAAGCAAGCTGACAATGAGTTGGTCACATAGCTCCAAGAAACTATAATCGATGGGGAAGAAAGATTCTTGAACAGCTATCCCGTACGGGCCATTAAATGGAGTGATAACCTCAAATACGTTGTAGAAAGTCATTGGATGCAGGTGGCTCAGGACCGTCGTTTATGGCAGTCTATGGTCTATGGGGGAGGTCTGTGTTCAGCAGTGGACAGATAATGGCTGATATGATGATTATGAATTAGAATCTGCTGTGAATGTACATTCTGTGATGTTTATGTAGACGACGGTTATCATTTTCCATTAGGTGGACCGTTAGCTTGCTTACTATGCTAATCATTATATAAAAAGTAAATTATGTCTTTTGCATTACGCATATACTGTACTGTGTGTGTGTGCGTGCGTGCGTGTCTATCTTATTAATATTAAATTCATAATTCAATTTATTCGATAACAATATTACATTTTATTAAATATGATATTTTTTTAAGATTATGTAAGTACAAAATCGCTAATATACAACATTTTAACGAAGTAATAATATTACATACAAATAAATCTATAATAATTGGTCTGACTTAATATAAATATTAGTTGCAATAAAAATTGAGTGAGTATATGTAATTGACATTTAAATGCGAAAGTTTGTGGATGCTTACTATTCTTTTATACAAAAGCTACTAAATAAATTTGAATGAAATTTGCTACATAGATAGGTTATATTCTAACTTAGTACATAGGATTCTTTATGTATTTATTGATTCTCGTGAGCGAAGGCACGAAATATAGATAGTTAATTATAATTTCATGAATCTACCTACACATTCACTTTGCGTAGCACATTATAACAATGTTTGGAAAAATTATAAGAAACATACCAATTTACATATAATTTTCTTTTTGAAAATAAATTATATTTTTTTTTTATAAATCTTAGAATGGCAATCAAGCTGACGGCCCACCTGATGGAAAGTGGTAACCGTCGCCTATAGACATGAGCAGTACCATGGACATAACAGAGTATACTGTTTCGCCCATGATACCCCCCATGCTATATAATCATTTATTATTATTTATACCAAATTTCGTGTAAGTTAATAAAACATCAAGAGGTAACTAATAGACTTGCCTTCAAATGTATAAATATGAGTATCGATAATCTCGAGTAAATACAATAGTGGTTCATTAGAAACATTTCGCATTATCGCCACAAAATGCCAAAGGAACATTTTCGCACTTTCTTCTAAAGACCTTTGAATAGTATGTACCTACCTATGTATCCGTATTACACCTATGTAACATCTATTTCAAGCTTTATACGTCGCCTACAAAAACTAATCTCTATATACATATATATAATGTATACCAAATGTGATAAGTACGGAGAATGCTGTATGTACCCATAAAAATACAAAGAAATCCTCCACTTGTTTGCATTTTTGTGTGCTTTTAAAATTATATACTCCTATATAATTTAAAAATTTAAAAGTAATATGAAATTTGCCCTGTATATATGTAGCCCTGTGTGTAGAAAGGCTACCCTTGCCTTTACCGTAGATGTCGTAAGAAGCTACTAAGGAAACTTAATAGTCGAGGAATAGACAGCAGCTTCCCTCTTAAAACGTCACTAAAGGCTAATTACGGTTGACAACCGTGGCAACTGCAAACTGGCAAACCTCAAATTGGAGAAGGCCAATGTTCAGCGGTGGATAGTTAACGGCTAATATGGTATACGTGGTATGAAGTTTGTAAAGTTAGAATGTTTGTTAGTTAACCACGCTAAACGGCTGGAATGAAATTCACTTAGATTCTTACGTATAATGAAATATTAACTTCTCACTATTGGATACCAGATTCTCTATATTATAAGACGATATAACCTTTTTCTTGATATGTTATCTAGAAATAGTTGCCTAATTTCAAAATTCAAGCATATGAGTTTGCGGGCAAAGACTAGTTTTGTAATAAAAAGTACTCACTTCGCTTGAAACAAATAATTTTAAGAAATTATTCTATGAAATAATTATCTAAATTAACAGGTCGAAGGTCCAAGATAGGTCTAAAAGTAAGCAATAAAGTGCGACAGAGAAGGTAGACTCATTTACATAAAAGGATTAGTTAGACAGGACGGTTCTGTGTTGAGAAATTACAGAATTCACAATAGGACACCGAAAGGTCTATTAAGTGGTTAGCTAATGAATGTATGAATCCGTCGGTATTCATTTAATGGATACAGTTTCGTGTAACATGTTCAATGCTTAGACTAAACATATTTTTGTAGAATACAAAGGCGATATAGTCTGTTTCAATTTAACTTAATTAAAATTTAAACAAAAAAAGTATTATAGACTTAATCATAAGACAATCTACAAATATCCAACAGTAGCATCATCATCATCATCATCGTTATTATCATCTAAGCCGTTATCTCACCACTACTGAGCATAGGACTTCTACTAGCTGCAGCTCGCAGTGCAAGACGAGACGCTGTAACATAAAACGCCGTACACCTTTTAAAGAAGACTTCCCGATAAAGTCGAAACAATTGTCAGAAATGACAAGTATAGTAAGTTCATAAGAAAACCATTGCACAAAAATGCTCCTGCCATCGCTCAAGATGGCGCGGTTATATGTCGTGCTTATAATTAAAGAAAAGACTGTCCTTTGATTTTATAATGTAGGCATGAGAGCTGTTGGCATTATGAACCTACTCTAAACAATGGCTTAAATTCGAGTAGGAGCTATTATGAACAAAGTAATCACGTGACAGTTTTTTGAAAAAACTACTTACATTTTTTCTCGAATACAGAATCAAGATTTTGCATGATGACAGCATAACAACAATATTTTGTATGCTTTTTATCATCAACTATTACACAGATATCTTATCTCTTTTATAATATTAATCCCATGACTGTAATTACAAATGTACGAAGATAGCTGAACGAAAATGCACGGCTTTAAGAGTAAGATACATAGTTGAAAAAGTTGGTAGTACCATTCATATTAAATTAGGAACTAATTTGAAAACTGTAGATACAAAAAAAATATAGACAAATAGGAAAACTTATTTTTAAGGGACTTCAAAAAGGAGAAGGTATTTATATAATTAATTTACCTGCATATTTTTTGTGTAAATTATATTCGTATATTCAATATTTTAAAACTGTTTTTGAGTTTAATCTCAAATTATTTTGTCATATTCTATAGTTTATCATGTTGCTTTCTGTTGTGAGGTTCCATATGAATATATAGTGTAGTTAGTGTTCTAATTCAATATTCCTATCTCGTATGCTTTCCATTATATTTAATAACACTGATATTTTAGTTTTATTTCAGAATTTTATTAATATTAATATATCTTATTAGAGATATTAAACATTAAAACTACACATAGTCGAATACCTTTAACTTTCATTTTCAATAAAAAAAATGGAGAAAATTATGCAGGTAAATAGTCTCATTACTGACTAATAATAAAAAATATCACATAGTCTACATGCATTATCCTGTAGTGTGCAATAGATCTTGTATTCATGTTTTATTACATTGCTATTATCAGCATTGTTGACAAAAGCTGTAGAACTAAATTCTTTAATGATATTGTTATGACGTGATAAACTATAATGGCAAGTATATAACAGCTAATCAACAGGATTTTTCTGTAGTTAGCAAAAATTATCTGGAGATCTATTAACTTTGGAATTGTAATGGCGTCTAAAGTGTGGTCTACATTTTTGGCTCGAAAATCCGATGGCAGCCAGATTAAACTTAGAATCGAAGAAATGCCTAGCAATCGTTTGGATGATGTTTTAAATTTGTTCTCTGTTTATGCCGCTAAAGAAGATATTTTTGTAAAATTATTAGGTAAGTGATTTAAAATTGATAAATATATAGGTACACTTGATCAAGTAGTAAAATATTATAATGCTCAGATTTTAAAGTTTTTCTCAGTTTATAGCAGTAATTTTTCGTTTTCAGACCACTAACAATTTAAAGTAACTATTCTGTATCTATGTTTGTAACGTGCATATTTACATTAGTTATTGTATCTGGTCTCAATTTATAATACACTTTTATTTTGTTTTTTTTTTTTTATTAAATTTCAATATCATTGACCAATAAAAAGTAGTACAAAAAGCGAATTTGCTATAAATATTCTGCCAGTCAATCATTAGGATATGCTGAAGTACTCGATGGCAGTTTAGGTTATGATAAAATACTTAATTTTAAATATTAAAACAAATTTTAAAGAAATCCCGAAAAATCCTGAAGCAGTAAAGGAAATGAAACAGAGTACCCGAGAAATGCTAAATGCTGGTCCACATAATATAGTCATATGCCGTCCAGATGATAATAATAGCAAGGACATTATAGGAGCATCTATAATTGGTATTACATTAGCAAAAGATAAGTTAGAGGACTTTCAAGTACCTGTAAGTATTATTTTTAGTATTGAAAATCATATTAATTTTCAAATAATTATACCTATAAACTGTCCAGTACTTAATATTTAGCAATTTAAATAAATCATGTAGAATATATTTTAAATACTTTGTTAAGTTATACACAAAATAAATCAATATAATTACCTATATATAAACCTAACATGGCTATAATCTGTTGTGTGCCTCATTAAAAATAAAAATTAAAAAAACAATAAAGAAACTGTAGAGTAGAAAAAAATCGATAAGTTGTTACTGCAGACTGTGTATCAAAGCCGTCGCTACCAATCCTTGTGATATAAAGATCATAAAACAGTAATAACTAGTCAATTTGTTATCATACATAAGGTGATAAGGAAAGAAGTGGGTGACAGAGAAGAAACACTAACAACTAAGCCCAAAATGTCACTCTCATGTCAATTCCTTTGCGAGACAGGTAGAAAGAACTGAGTGTTAAAGGTTTCTATTTTTAAATATGTCTACATAAGTATATTTCTTACTTCATTTGTTTTTTTTATAGTTTTCGGTACAGAATTTAAGGAATTCCGTCCTCATTACTGGATACGGGTGACAGAATACCTGTAGTAATAGGTGCGTGGTGTGTTAATTAGTAATTCAAACGCGATATTTGGGAACATGAGGAAGGTGGGTGAACAGCCAGAGACTGTAGTAAATAAAAAAGTAGACTTCGAACTGGTAATTTCCGCCGTCTACCGGTCCCCAATTCGAAGAACGACTGATGGGAGTTGACTTTAAGAAATGACGCAAGCCGCCTGTGAATCTTGTAGGCTATATTTTTTTATACAACTTAGAATGGCAAACAAGCTGACGGCCCACCTGATGAAAATGGATGGAAGTCTGAGGACTCAGTTATTATTCCTCTGTACCCTGTAAATTCACGCCATATCAACCTTCAAACCGAAACACAGTCATGCAAACACAACTACTTCACAGTTGAAACACGAATGGGACAGAGGTACCCAAGCGAACGATTTTTGTACAAAGTCTCCCTCTGATAAATACTTTTTATTTGAAAGATTGAGAGAGGCTTGTGAAGAGTGGCATATGAGTACAGCGGTTGGGAATTGCGAAAAAGGAGAAGTATGGTCAACTACCGGGCACGTGACTATCCCGGGTATCATTGCAGCCACGCACCCGACTGTTTTCATAATTCATCTCTTAGGTCGATTTAGAAAAATCTTGTTTCCTCTATCAGACATCAAGGTCTATTTAATCACAATAGGTTACATTAGATTTAATACATGCAGCTTTTTATGTTCAAATTATATTTTCAGCTTCTGATATTATGTACGTACATGTTCAAATCAACGTAGCTTGCCCTTTCACATTTCACAAATTCACAAAACCAACTTATTATTTTTTTTTTCACAGACAAAAACAAAGGAGATGGAAAAGTTATGGGAGTATTACATAAAGTTGTATAGTCTCTATGATCTATGTAAGGCCCAGTCTTTGACAAGCTATTATGATGAAAGAGGTCAAGTAGTAATACCTGGTTATGTAGATATTGATATACGGAAGGAACTTCTTAATGTAAGGTAAGAATGAATATATATAATAATAATGTAAGTCAAAACTCTCAACTGGTCAGATGCATTATTGACTCGTTATCCTAATATGATGTTATAGTCGTGCATATATTTAGTTTTATTTGAAATTGGTCTCTAAAGCAAAGTCAATATTAAGTAAACGTTGTCGACATGAGTGTTGATTACCCATATTTTTTTTTTATGAAACAAAGGGATAAAAACCAATACAATATAATAGTGATTTAAAAGACGTCGATGTATGTATGTAAAATTGCAAAATTTATTTAAGTAATATTTTAGTGAAAAAAAATGTAATGTTAACATTATCCATGTCATGCTGTTGGTTTACATTAGCAGGCCAACAAAGAGGATGATAGGTAAATATGAAGTCTAGCTAATTGGCATCAGAAATTAAACGCGATGGCTTCTAAGGGCGCATAAAGATGAATTTGATAGTGTATATTGCTAGGAAAAAGACTGTTAGTCCCAATGCTAATTATTCCATCTCGTCGATAATTGAACAGTTGAGAAGTTGTTATGAAATTATAGTTCATTAAAGTTTTTAAGCGACTATAAATATAGTAGGATAAATGATTAGACTATTTTTAATACCTTCCAGACGAAAAATCTGTAAAGAAAACAACGTGACTGTAACTGGTGGATGGATGCACTCCAAGGAAGCTCAAGAGGCAGCAGAGGCTGACGGCTGGCAAACAGCATACGAAGTCAGTCGCGAACAACTGGAGAAGCTATTGGGCATTTCCATATCAGGAGGACCATTGTTATGGAAATTTATGTTTGCTAAACCTTTATAAATTTGTGCACTTGTTTTTGGAAGGGATCTTTTTAGCATAGGTAAGAAAATTTCAATTGCGACAAAATTGATACGGAAACAACACGGGATGAAGCCCATTAGTTGCTAAAATAATTTGCATGTGTACATCGATATTGTTTGTCATATAAATACACACAAATATATATATATATATATATATATATATATATATATATATAAAGGAAATTAAATCTTTTCTTTAAAATAAATTTACCTACAAATTTTTATTTCTGACTATATCATAAATAATAAGATTCATGATAAATTTTTATATGGAACAATAGTTGATTTTGTTGAGCATTTATTTGTTACATTCATTGAAGCAGTGTTCATTCTCGACCTTTTTTGTGCTATGCCCCACTTGTACATTTCTAAAATTTTTATGCCCCTAAACATAATTTTTTTCGACAAAATTTATTTGACGACTAATCGCCTAGTTGATATTTTGGTAACGTCAAACGAAATTATACCTAAGAAATATAAATATTAAAAAAAATGCTGTAAACAGCATTTTTTTTAATACTTTTTTTGTTTGGCACCGATATCTACTTGTAGCATTGCATTTAAGTAACCCGGAGCAAGAGGGTTAAAATCGCTTCGAGTCCATTTCCACTCTTCAAACCGAAACACAGACATGCTAACACAACTGCTTCATGGTAGAAACACGTATGGAAGAGAGGTGCCCAAGCAAATGACTTTTCTACAAAGTCTCCTTCTGGTAAGATCTGATGATATCTGTGTTAGTATAGTATTATGACGTTAATCCTAAATTTATTCTTATCTCTATAATAGTAGACAACTTACGATAATGAATTGACGCTCAAGATTTGACTCAGCTAGTTTTTATCAAGAAACTAAATTTTTAGAAAAGTCACATATATTAACCTTAATGATTATCACCATATCTTCATATTAGTCATTAACTGTCCACTGCTGAAGATAGGCCTCCCTCCACTATTGGGGGATTTTTGCCATGCTTCACAAGCGGGACGGAAATCGCAGTTAGGCTTTGGTGATACTATAAGAGGGACACATCTGCCCATATTTCGACCATTTAGTTCCCTTAGTCGCCTCTTACGACACCCACGGAAAAGAAAGAGGAGTATTAACCTTACATTATGAAAATAGCATAATATTGCATAAAATTATATAATTATATGTAAAAACTAATCAAGTCAAATCTTGAGCTTTAATTTATTCTAAGTTATCTACTTTATGTAAATAATTCGACTGTTCAAATTTAAGAAGTTATATTTTTAAATAGCAAACATTTTAGTAACAGAAAGAAAGAAATGGTGTTTTAAATTTATTTTAGTAGGCTAGTAGTAGTAGACCCCGCAAACTTCGTACCGCTTAATTCAGTCATTTCTTTAATTTTTTAGTTTTTTTAATATTTATTCTGGTATTCGGGACGCTGGATTAGCTAGTAAGATAAAAAAAAAAGAAAATTAGAAAGTTAAGAGGTCAACAATCACATTATGTCAAAAAATAAAAATTATAAAACACGCCGTGTTACGTCATTCAATTGTTATGCTTTCCCGGAACCTCTCCACTAACACCTGAACTTTATGGTATGGTATTAAAGTTCAATTAAGTATAATACGAATCGTTTGTATGGAAGTATAGAAAAGTGTTTTTTCTAGACTTTCTCAAGCAATTTTTTAAAATTTTTCTCTTCGTAAGAAACATCTTAGTACTTCAAGGAATATTCTAAAAAAAGAATTAGCAAAAGGTTCAGCTGTTCTCGAGATTTGCGCTTAGCAACATATTCAGCGATTGATTTTTATATTATAGATGTTTTAAGATATATTCTTATAAATAAATTTTTGAGTTATCTACGGAGTTGCTTCCCATTTAGATTTCAATTGATTTGTCCGCGAAATCAATAATTACACATATTCTTAATACTGAAGTGGTTGCCTGAAAAACATTATTAGTAATGGAGTCTAATAGCTCCATTGCATTGATAGCAATATATCCTATCAGGTCGACGATCACGCGGTTTCCCTTGGAAACCGTTTGTGGTTATTTTTTGTGGAATTCATCACGATGGACTAACTGACCTGCTTTTGTTACTTACATATTATCTGTCACTAGTGCCTCGTCAGCGCATACTAGTAGAGTTACCATTCTATTCTTACCCATCTAAAACAAAGAAACAAAAACTCGATTCGATTTGCTACCATAAGCAAACATTTGCCTAACAGGCCTTAATTAATATTCACATACGATGACTATACAGTCAATTGTTCCTCGATATTATATTGAATTGGATTGTTACTAATTACTTGCTAAAATTTGGAGTTTATATAATCATTGTTAAAACACTTGCTGGCATTATTCTATAATTTTATTAATTTACCAGAATTAACCAGTTTCACTATAGTATTTTTAAAGACTTATAACAAAAGTAAAATGTCTAATAACAACACATCACAATTATGTGTGTACATACACAATATTCTTTTTAATGTATGATAATGAAATGGTAACCCCACCTGCGCTATCGATATACACTGGCGGGGTTCCAGTGAACGATGATAGGTGAGGATGAAGCAGGTCAGTCAGCCCACCATGACGAATCTAACAATAGATCAATCACAATGGTTTCCAGGAGGAACCACGAGGAGGTCGACCTGACAGGGTATATCGCTAGCAATGGGGCTACTAATACTCATCACTAACAATCCCTTTTCCCCCCTATACATAATATTAGCCATCTATGTAGGCCATCCTTTCCGTGGGTGTCGTAAGAAGCGACTAAGAGAGCTTATGGTGGAGATATGGGCAGCAGCGTCCCTCTTAAAACATCACTAAAAGCCAAACTGTGTTGTTAGTTCCGTCTGCCAATCATAGAAATTATTGACCCCCCTTTTGGGGGAGACTATGTTCAGCAGTGGACAGTTAATGGCTGATACAACAATATATAAAAAATTTTTGACAAATGAGTACTCCTCACTTAAAAGAGTGATTTTCAACAATTGCGATCCCTATCCAACTTCGGTGAACCTTTTCAACTGTACTTTCAACTTTCGAGACCCCAGAAAATTCGTTGTACCCGAAATATAAAAGGAATCGTTTTATTAAATGCTTTCCTGTACACTCAAAACCAAAAAACTTCACCGAAATTACACAGAAATCGCATTTGTTGGAAATTAACCAGAAATATATATATTATTTATACCTCGCTGTTTTTTTAATGGATGATAATGGAATAGTAACCTCGTCTGCGCTAACGGTATACACTGGCAGGGTACCAGTCAGGGATGACAGGTAAGAATAAAAAGGCAGGTCAGTTAGCCCATAGTGATGAATACACCTGGAACTTAGCATGACGGTTTTCAGTGGCAACTACGTGGAGGTTGATCTGACGGATATATTGCTAATATAATATTATATATACGAGTATAATATAATATTGAAATATAGACTACCGGCCAATAATTCTCCCCCCCCCCCCCCCCGAGATACCTCCTGGTTAGGTATATATAAACTACTCTAAGAGTTGGATAAAATATTTTTTTATGATAGAATGGTAAACAAGCTGACGGTCCACTTGATGCAAAATAGTAAGACCAAGAAATATACTACGATATAGAAACACAACGTCAAAATATAAAATAAATGCATGCTATATGTTAAATTAGGATATAACCTATCCGTGTACCTTTTATTTCAAACCGTTCAGTAGTTTTTCCATGAAAATAACAAACATCTATCCATACATCCATATATCATTTACCAGAGGGAGACTTACAAAAGTCGATTGCTCGGGTACCTCTGTCCCATTCATGTTTCAACCGTGAAGCAGTTGTGTTTGCATGGCTATGTTTCAGTTTGAAGGGTGGGATATGGCAGTGAATTTACTGGGTACAGGGGAATAACACCTGAGTCCTCAGGAATGGCAACGCATGGGGGGTATCATGGGCGAAACAGTATACTCTGTTATGTCCATGGTACTGCTCATGTCTATAGGCAACGGTTACCACTTTCCATCAGGTGGGACGTCAGCTTGTTTGCCATTCTAAGTTGTATAAAAAAATCCTCATAAGCTTTTCTATTTATAATAGTAGTAGAGTTAATGTTTATTCTTTTTTTTTTAAATTCAGAAGGAACAAATATCAACTAAAAGAAATAAGTAAATCAATCACTAACAATAGAATCCCAAACCACTAAAAGGCCCTAAACTGTTATATATTCATAGAGAACTGATTCTATTTTATCCGATGCAAACAACCTCGCTATTTGGCTTTCTAGCAAGTTTGTGAATATATCGTTTTTATATTATGTGTTTCTAACTATTACTGGATCGTTTTATTTCTTTATTTATTCCTTACTAGCTCTCCGCCCTGGCTTCGCACGGGTGTGCTAATAAAGAATAAACAAAATTACGCTGTGAAAAGTATTGAAAGTTGTTATAAATAGCTACTCTATATTGACACACAAATTGTATAATATTTTAATAGAGAACATAGTAGGACTAAGTAAAAATAGATGATAAAGTATTAGGTACAGTTTTCTCTTTCTAAATTGTTATGCAAATGAGAGTCAAAATTGCAGTTGTTTCTTATACGAGTACATCAATCATATTAAAATAAAAACAAGAAAGTACTATTATAAGTATACTATTATTTATTGATTAATTTTACAATATGAATATAAATAATTATAAACTACAGCATATATTAAATAACTATATAATACCAATAATAATTACGATATGAATAGATACACACCAATACTTAAATAATGAATAATAATAATAAGAAAATACGTACTTATCGTGATACACTATTTCGAAAGTGAAAAAAGTGTTGTCCTCCTCTCTTCTACTTGCTGTGCCCAACAGGGTCCATAATTGAAACCTTATGTACTAATTATGTATTATGTATTAGTTAATTATTATGAAATGCAATAATAAATAAATAAATAAACTTAATTAGTTTCATTATTCATTTATCAGGTAAATAGATCATGAGCTTAGATCATACTGTCTAGTTTTTCAATATCAGTAAGCGTAGGTGAAAATAATTTAAATGCCTGAAATTGTATATATATTTTTTAATATTTACTGGAATTATTCTCTTTAATTAATTTACGCGGTAATAATCTTCAATATTTAATTTGTAAAGTGTTTTAATTACATTTTTAATAAGATTTTTCTTAAAACAAATCCAGTTGAATTGCTTTAGGTAAGTATAGTCACAATTCTCAAATTCAATATCTGGCCTTCCGAGAAAACTAATCTTATAACTCTTTGAACACTGTTAGGAGAAAATCTCTTTGAGACATGAAGGAAATCTTATTAGTCATAGAATGGAAAGTGGGATGTTTTCGGGTTTATTGAAGACAAATTATTAGTTCGTCAACCATAAACATGCAAAGAGCATGACAAATTTTGTGACGTAGAAAACAGAAAAATGATATACAGTTTGAGGTACATTTTAGTTACACTTTATCTATATAATAGGTAAACAATTAAGTCCGTTTAATGCAGATATTAATTGTTTATAAATGAGTACTACTTTTATAGATTATTTTATTTGATACATTTTATAAACTTATAGAAATACCGTGACATGATGTACATTAACAATGAGAGTCATAGGCAGTACAGTAAAGTCCTTGATTTCCATGGCACTATCGAAGTATCTCTGTGATCGTTACCATTTTTCATTAATCAGATTTTCAAATTTCCTATATTACATAAGTTAAAGTTAAGTTAATATATGTTATAATATGTTTAGGTTTCTTCAGGGTCAGCAACGCGCACGTGACCGTCTAGTGTTACAGGCATCCATAGGCTATAGTAACCGTTTAGATGGGTTGTATGCTCGTTTGCTACCTTTGTTGTATAAAAAAATCAGATGTTGGTCATCAGCTGTCATTCCAAGTATTATAAGAAATACAAAAAAAAGTTCCTACAGTTTTAATTAAATGTAGAAAAAGTTTTTAAGATTTCCTTAAAATTTCAGTAATAAAACCAATTTATAAGAAATATAACAAACAGTACATAATTAAAAGACTATTGATTTGATACCAACAATAATAATAGTATTTGAAGCACCATCCGAGATGCACCATCCACGTCGTTGTCCAAGGATGCGCCATGCAAGGCAACTCCCTCTACCCGACCAAGGACGGCTACTACAACGGTGGAACCAAGGAAAGACGCACTCCGAGATGCGCCAATTAAGGCTGCGTCAAAGGAAGCGTCCTCCAAGGGAAAACCAGTGGTGCTGACCGAGGCTGTGACGGAGGGTTTGTCCTCAAAGGCTGCGTCAGAAGCAGAAACAGGCTATCCAACGATGGATATGTCATCCCTTAAGGATGCCATACAATCACCATCGAACTCAACCTGGACAACAATAACTAAACCAATGTCGGCCTCTAAGAAGCGGCGCCTTAAAGCCAAAGCGAAGGCAGCGGCACAGCGTGCATTGGCAGCAGATGCTGCGAGGCAGATCGCGGGACCGAGTTCTCGCCCAGTGGAAACCAAACCAGTAGGAGAGGTAACAATGGGCGGGACCACGGCACTTGCGTCTGTCGGTGCGAGTGCTGCGCCTTCCATAGGCATACGCAAGCGCAGCATGAAACCAAGAGGTCGTAAGAAATCAGGTAATAACCAACAAAAACCAGAGTCGAGGGCGCAGAAGCGTGCACGTCCAGAGGATTCTGTAACACCGACTGGGGTGGGTAAAAAACCCAAAACCAACAAACCCCGAACGGTGAGAGGAACCGCTGCGTCGTACGCTGAAGCGGCCGCAACCTTCATCGCTAACGAGCTCTGCGTTGCTGTCATGATGGAACCTTTCTCTGACATGACGCAAGAGCAAGCTGAAGGTATTCGGAAAGAAATAGAGGACAAGCTTCGGGATGAGCTCATGGCGGAACCGGATGCTTCCCTTGAAACTGAACCTAACGATATAAGGTTCCGAGGCAGAGCACATTTTGCGGATGGCGTCCTCAAAACCTGGTGCGAGGATGCTTTTACGCTAGCCTGGCTTAATCGGACCGTCCAAAACATGGCCTCACCGATAGCTAATTCAAAATTAGTTGTCAGGCCACAATCAGCTATCCCAAAGAAAGTACCGTGTCTGCTTTTCGTACCAGGTCATACTGGCGATTCAGTTGCATTACGGAAGCTTTTGGCGCGGCAGAACCGCAACTTGAATATCAACTCCTGGACACTGACACACGAGAGGGCGAGATCGGATCCACCAGGAACCTGTCTGTTCTTCCGGGTGCCGGAAACGGATGTTAATCTGTTAAAGGCCCAGGACAGAAGATTATACTACCTCATGGGGAACATTTATATTCGGTTTCTGGATAAAGATGCATCCCCAGAACCCAATACAAACCCCACGCAACAACCGGAGGAGGCGCGAGCCCTGACGCAGTGCGTGACACCTAAGGCGACATTGTCGACAAAGGAAGCTGCGACCGTGTCTGGGCACGCGGAACCCCCGATTGCGATGGAGGTGCAAAATTTACCTTCTCCGAGATCTATCTCGGATGAAGAGTGCTTTCCGGAAGGGGGGGGAGAGAGTGAAACCAGCGATGGTGTCCTTTACTCCTCCCCTCTTCGGGAAGACTAAAATAATACAGACCAACCTCCAGCACAGCCAAACTGCAACGGCTTCCTTACGCAGAGTGCTGGAAAACAACACACAGACCATATCGCTGATCCAGGAGCCGTGGATCAGGAAGAACAGGATATGTGGTCTTGGAAACAGCGGAGGAAAACTTCTTCTAGACACCTCCGTAAGTAACCCGAGAACATGTATACTAGTACCGAAACATGTACCAACATTACTAATCAACGAATTCTGTTCAAGGGACCTGACAGCAGTCAGAGTAACTAGAACAGATCAGCATCTCCCGGATATTGTCCTTGCCTCCGCATACCTGCCGAGCGACGAGGACATACCAACTCCGGAGCTCAACCTACTGGTCGAGTTTTGTGAGAGGGAGAAGCTGGATCTGGTCATCGCTGCCGACTCCAACGCACATCATACCCTTTGGGGTAACGGCAAGTCCAACAACAGAGGTGAGGAAATGCTGCATTTTATTTTTAGTAATAACCTTACTCTAATTAACAAAGGTTCTGAACCTACCTTTATAAACGCTCGATCACAAACTATTATAGATCTAACTCTAACGACTGTTGGTATTTCGGAATCCATTTGCGACTGGCATGTATCCAATGAAATATCATGCTCAGACCATAGATGGATTCGATTCTCCATTAATATGGAGTTACCCAAACCACAGCCTAGACGTATACCTCGAAGGACTGACCGACATAAGTTTCTTAAACTGGTCAGGGAAAAATTCGACAATCAACTGCCACTATCAGATGATTTAGCGGTAACAGATCTGGATAACAGTGCAAACTACATCACATCCATTTTAACCTCAAGCTATGAACAGTCCTGTGCCCTAACCACACCACAGTATGGAGGGAAACAACACTGGTGGTGTCCGAAATTGGAAAGACATCGTCGTAAGTTAAGGAAACTGTTTAACATAGCCATGAACAAACGGTCACAAGAAGACTGGAACAAATACACAACATCCAAAAAACAATATAAGAAACTCATACGCCGGAGAAAGCAAGAATGCTGGAGGCGTTTCTGTACAAACATAGAAAACAATAACCAGGCGATTAAAGTAAAATCATGTCTCTCTAATGAGAAAGATCATACAATAGGTTGCCTTAAGAAACCTGATAATAACTATACAAAGAACGACACAGAAACAACCGAATTGCTACTAACCACACATTTTCCAGGTTTCCAGACTACTGCTGAGTGGTCATGGGAACCATATAAGGAAAGGGAAACCAGCAGCTCGGACTGGGAAGTGGCAAACAGAGTTATAGATAAAGAAAAACTACTATGGGCAATCAGTACCTTTTTACCATTTAAAGCGGCAGGCCTGGATGGAATATTTCCAGCCCTTCTGAAATGGAGCGGGAGCATCATAGCTGACTATTTAGTACAGCTGTTCCGAGCGTGTATAGCTCACCGCTACATACCTTTGAAATGGCGTGAGGTAAAAATTATATTTATTCCTAAACCAGGTAGAGGAGATTACACCGTGGCCAAATCCTTTCGACCGATCAGTCTCACCTCGTTCTTTTTGAAAACTTTGGAGAGACTATGTGACAAAGAGATTAGATGCTAAGTCTCTTTGTGTAAACCTTTACACCCTAACCAACATGCTTACAGTGAAGGCAAGTCAACAGAATCGGCACTTCATAACGTAGTATCTCGAATAGGCAACGCATTGCAATCGAAGCAGCCAACCTTAGGTGCATTTATAGACATCGAAGGGGCATTCGACAAGACAAACTTTGCCAGTATAAGTCGGGCACTAGCTACACATGGAGTAGAAATAACACTTAGAGAATGGATACATAACATGCTTAAACAACGAGCTATACAATTTACTGTAAATACTACCACACGAGGAATCGTCGGTAGGGGCTGTCCACAAGGCGGCGTACTGTCACCACTATTGTGGAATATAGTCGTAAATGAACTCATAATAGAGCTCAACGATAACAGCCTCTACACGGTAGGTTATGCGGATGACATAGCTGTACTTTTAACAGGAAGCTTCGAAAGTACTCTGTGTGATCGCATGAGAGTAGCTTTTGACATAATTGAGAGATGGTGCGTACAGCATGAACTCTCTGTTAATCCTACAAAAACAGAATTAATCATGTTCACAAATAGAAGAGTTACATGTCCTTACAGGCTACCAAAACTCTTCAATACGGAACTGAAACTTAAGGAAGAAGTCAAGTATCTTGGCATAATACTAGACAGTAAATTGCTTTGGAATAAACATCTTGACTATAAACTTAACAAAAGCACAATTGCATTCTACCAGTGCAAAAAGATGCTAGGAAATAAATGGGGCCTTTCGCCAAAAATAACTCTATGGCTGTACAGGGCTGTAATCAGGCCAATGTTGGTCTATGGTGCACTAGTTTGGTGGCCGAGGACAAAACTATCGACCACTGCCGCCAAACTAAAAAGCTTTCAGAGACTGGTTTGCTCCTCTGTCAGCGGCTGCATGAAAACAGCTCCTACAACAGCAATAGAGTTGGCCCTTAACATAACACCCCTAGACCTGCACATACAGCAGGAAGCGGCCTTAGCCGCTATCCGACTAATGCATCTGGATCTATGGGGTAAAAATCACTACAGTCCCCACACTGCTATTCTGAACCAGGCAATCGAATATCAACCTTTGATTGCGGCTCCGTGTGACAGGACTCATAATCATTATATATTTAACAAAAAATACCAAGTACAAATAAAAGAAGAGGAAAAGGATCAATCCGGTGTACATGAATTACGCATATACACCGATGGCTCCAAAACTGAGAACGGTTCAGGAGCTGGAGTCTTTTCCTTAGACCTTAATATAAACATGCACATACCGCTTGGCGACCACAGCTCAATTTTCCAATGCGAATGTGTTGCAATAACCGAGGCTGCTGCAGTTGTACATAAGCTAGGAATAAATGGTTATAGCATTAGATTCTTATCCGACAGCGCAGCAGTACTAAAAACATTAAGAAACAACAAGACAAACAACAAACTAATAATTGAATGCCACCATTCACTGGATAGGATATCTTCCAATAACCGTATTATCCTCCAATGGATAAGAGGGCACAGTGGGTCTTATGGTAACGATGCCGCAGACGAACTAGCTAGGAAAGGCTCAGGAACGAGGGTGGTAGGCCCGTATCCACTCCTTCCTCTTCCATTCTCACAATTTCGAATGTGGATTCGTCAAAGATCCTCTGACATACAAAACCAAAGATGGATACAGGCTACTGATTGCAGACAATCAAAATTGGCCGTACCTATGTTGAATCAACGACTATCAAAACGTTTATTACATCTAGACAGAAAAAACCTCAAAACAATGATAGGGACAATAACGGGTCATTGTCCATTAAACAAACATCTATACACAGTAGGAGTTACAGACAGCCCTCTATGTCGAGGCTGTTTCAACGCCGAAGAAACGGCAGCTCACGTAATCCTGGAATGTGAGGCTGTGGCCCATCAACGTTTAGAAATCCTCGGAACGGTGAGGTCGCTCCGTGAGGCCTGTGAAGAACCCAGGAAGCTTCTGCGCTTCTGGACGGAGCTAGGTTGGCTGCACTAGCCACGACTCATACGCACAATGGCCCAAATGAGAGGCTAAGTGCGGAAAATGGAGTCCCTTTCACATTCACATTCACATTCAATAGTATTTGAAAAGGCAATATATACAAGAATCATTGCTTTTCTAGATAAATTAAAAATTTTGAAAGGTGTCTAATATGGTTTTCGAAAAGGAAAATCTGCCTCTTTAGCCTTTAAGCTTATAAAGACAATAACTGAAAATGTTGTCAAAAACACTGATACTGTTACAGTTTTTTTTTATATGAGCAAAGGATTTGATAGTGTATCCCATGCCATTCTTCTCAAAAATGTAAAAAATATGATCTACGGGGGCTTGTATTACTCGTATAATGGTTAACTAGTCTTGAGAATCATCGTTAATATATCTAAATTATTGGAATGAATAATCATTCTGAAGAAATATCTCATAAATCCAAACCTTCTATTAATGATGTGGGAGTTCTACAAGGAACAATTATGGGAATTTTTATAAAAGAAAACCAAAAAGTGATTAATTAATGACTACAATTTGCGGAAAATTTATAAATGATATTTTATTTCTTGACATTACAATTGATAACCAATGCTCATGGAAAAACCATGTAAAAAAGTATATTAATAATAATATATTAAACAGATTTATCTTTCTCTCTGAATTAACCAAATTGGTAGATCAATAAGTAGCAGTAATGGCATATCATAGACAATTGGCATCAAACCTTAAATATGGTATACTATCGTGAGGAAACTCGGTAAATATTAACAGAGCGTTTACATTTCAGAAATAGTGTACTCGTACCATCTGTTATAAACGACCAATGACACCTTGTACTTAGTATTAATATAACTTATAATTAATATTTAGTAATAATAACATGTAAAAATGCTGCATATTAAACTGGCTGAATGTTTAATATGCAGCTAGACAAAATGTATAACATTATCTCAACCTACCACATTCATTGCAATAAATTTTATTTTATTTCATTACAAGAATGGGAAATAACAAAAAGCCTATGAATTCAATTGAAAAAACGTCTATAAAAATGTTTTAATTTTAATTCAGTTTTAATGTCATATACTTGCACATTGTCGGAACTCCTTCGAAATTAATACCAAGAATAGATACTAACTTTTTGTAAGATATATCGAAGGCAGTATTGTAGTTGTTATTTTGATATGCTTTTTGCGCTGTAAGCATAGTAACCCAAGCACCTATTAAGCGTATATTATCTTCTCGGCATGTCACTCGTCTGAAATTAATTAATAAAAATAAATTATTAATAATACATTAATGTACTTCAATTATACACTTGATAAAATCTGACAGTTTAAATCTGTATTTTAATAGATTAATATTATAATTGGATATATCAAAGAGAATGGTGAATTTTTGTGATGTGTATAATCTACTAGCGTCCCGCTCTGGCTTCGCACGGGTGCAATATTTGTTTGTGTAACTTTTAAACTGTTGGATACATTTTAGTAAGGCTGGTATTTTGGCGTGTGTTAAAGTACTGTACTAATATTCTCTAAGATTTTAAAATAAACGGATAGACCGTTTTATGCAATGAGAGAATAATTAGCAATTTTATGTGTACGCGTTTATATAATTCCTACTGCATCCTTACTCACCACACCCTGCTTTTCTATCACTATTCTCGCACGGCCAGCGCCAGCGGCAACGCAATAATTTTACAGGCTTATTGTTTTTATTTCGCATTATCTTCTAACCAACTGCATCAAATAATACGCTATCAAAAATAAACTTTATATCAATGAAACTTTCATATTGATTTAGCTATTTGTTTTTACAAAAAATATTAAAAAATACGCTAAACCTGTATCCAAATTTAATCTTGAAAAATGTATTTTATTTTTAACATAAAAATCAATGGTTTTGACAGAGATATTAAACTTAGATATATTGTGTCGCGGACTTTTTTGTAAAGCTAAGAGTAATGAATATTTTTGCTATAGAATTTGTTCCTTTATTTGAAATCGTTCAGACAGTGCACACCATATTACAGAATTTTTGCTTGAGTTCAATTACATTTATTGTGATTAATTATTGAAAATATATATTTACCAAAATCAAAAGTAGCCTAAAGCACTTAAGGGTAATATACTTTTTAATAGTGAAAGAATTTTCATAATCAGATCAGTACCGAAGATTACCCCGAACATACATATTCACAAATTTATGTCTTTATAATATTAGTATAGAGAGTATAGATAAAGAATCTGTTAAGTTCCAGAAGGAATTTATCAAAAAGAATAAGTATGAAAATAAGTAACAAACCGCTGGTATATAACCTTAAATAGATAAATTTAGTTTTAAGAGCCTCATTCTTAACTGATAATAATACTTATAGTCCACTTGTCATACCCATTTTATATCAGAAAGCGACAGCGATTTTTCTAAGAAATTTGACCATTAGTTAAGTAAACTTATACTGTATGAAGTGAATACATTTCTTTGAAAAGGCATTTTTATGCTATATACAAATTATTTTTATTTATTACAACGATTCAAAACACTTATTTAGTTTCAGGTGGATGAAAAATCTCCTTGTTATGTAAATTAAAATATTCATTAAGTAATTATAATTTCTATTGTAATATTTCTCTGTTAAATTCTCGTACATATCTACGTCTATATACTATGTCTATGTATATTTACATTAGTCCAAAGTAAATATTAATTTAAGGTTCTACACGTGCGAGACATCGATATTGTATTTTTGCTATGTCAATTTAATTATCCGTATTCCAATTATTATCTACTATTATGGAATTTTATTACATACTTTTGACTAGGTATTTTAATTTTAAATACGTTTTCATTTCTTTACACTAGCTTTTTACCCATTACTTCTTACGAATGGATTTTAGAAGTAGAAAAAATAAAATAAATTTACCACTTGTAGATGACATATTAGGATGTATATATACATCAGATTTAAACCATCAGGAATACAACTGTAAAAATGTATCTAATTTGGAGTAGTAATTTTTGCGTGATGCTGGAACAAACATACAGGCAGAAACAAAATTTCGAAATATTATTTTTTTTTGCTTTTTTCTATAGTCCTTATTAGGACTTTCATCTCAATTTTCATATTTTCTCCATGTACAGACATTGTCCAGTTACAATTTTATTATATTAGTTACAATAAGATGATTAAATGTAGGTATTTATTAATTTTAATGTTTAGGTTGCGCGAGATGTATATTTTTAGGTATTATCTTGTTGTTACGTATACCCAAAAATTCATTATCCAATTAACATAATAGTTTTTTGCAACTAGTTAAACATTTATTAAAATCGTAGAACTACAGAACAAATCCATCGACTGATGTTAATCATTAATAAAACATTGAATTTTAACATATTAATCAAACAAAACAAATGCACAAGATCTCATCTGGTGTACCACAGGGAAGCATACTAGGACCTACATTGCTCAGCTGCAAATCTTGATATTGGACTGGCCTTTGGCAAGATGTATATAGTGTAGCTCTAGATATGTGATATATATTATTAGTTATGTCATGACTAGTAGACAGTAGTAACGATTACAATAAACTTAAAAACAAGTTAAAGTTTTAAAATAAGTTTAAAATTAAAAATAAGATAAAATTGATTAATACCTAAGTGTGTTTTCAAAATTAATAATGCCGAGCGATCTATATTCAGGATGTATCGCTAGCCCCGTATCCTCGTAGTATCGATCCACATTATACATCTTTTTAACATCTTCGATAGAAAATAATTTGTAACAAGTAGATTTAATATTTAGAAGTCTTCTCACTGCTTCTGTTTTCGTCTGTAAAAAAAAATAATATAAATGATTAAACACAAGAAAAAATTCAGCGGACTGTTTCTCAATGTTGCCAGTAATTCAATTAAAAATAAGTATAAATATAAATAAATTGTTTTCTATCCTTTTCATTCAAGTATATAAGTAGATTCAAGTCTATATGTTCTTATGAATATTGTATTGTTCTTATTTTGTATTAACTTATTACCAAATAGCTTTACAATATTAATTTCTCACACTTATCTAATATTATCTGTACATTCTGATATTCCTCACACTTCTTCTTTACTTCACACATGCAATAATAAAAATTGGAATGCTTTTAACAAAAAAATTTGTGGACTATTTAGTTACACTAAGCAGATTATTTATAACCATTATATAGATATTGGTATTGGATTTCAAATTTCAGACCCATTGTTTATTATATTTTCCACTTAATTGTGCACCTGTATATTGTAATTTAGATCTTCATGTGACGAAACTATCTTCATCATAGACACTGCAACTATCTTCCCAGTATTCGGATTTGAGTAATCATCAATGATATAAACTTTTGTAGAGTAATTTGGTTTCATAATTACTTGTGATATAATTTCTTTGTACTCTTTTACAGCTTCTGGATCTTCACTGATACCTTTGTATAAAATAAATAAATATAAGTTATTTTTATTATAAGGCTTAAGATCAGTAATTAAATTTGGACACGAAATATGAGTACTAGATGGCGCTAGAATGGAGACTTGTGATTTTTGTGGATTATTCGATCATTAAATATAATTTGAGGCAAAATTTCTAAACTAGTATGATTTTTTTTCTCTTGTATTGTACAACTTGGTGAAAAAAAACACATATTTGTAAAAAACATTGCGGTTGTGTCATTGCATATTTATAGATATTTGAACTTTTTTGGATCGTTACAGATTCTTTTTAGAGAATTTCGCTATTTGAATTAAGTATTTTTTTTATTTTGATTAAAAATAGAAAATTATCTAAAAATGGATAAATTATTAAAAATTTCAAAATTTGTAGTTGCTAAGGTAAAGTGCTGTGACGGATGGACGGTTAGACGGAAAGAGCGAGTCGCATTATAAGGATTTCCTTGTACTATTACTTTTTTGGTACAGAACTTTTAAAAAACAAAACCAAATGCTCAATCAAAATAAGAGACCTTATGTTGTGTGAAATCAGCCAACGAATAACTGAGAATGCGACGCAGAACACCCACAGTGGAGTCAATTTGGAAAAGCCAGTCTCTTAAATTCAGCTAATTTTTTTTTACAACAAAATAGATATGAAAATTAGTTTTATAATCGAGTTATATAGCCAAAAAATAATATTGACTCATTAAAACCCTTTCTTTTTCTTTAGAAGCCACTCCTTTGGATATTTACGATATATTAGCTTTTGTCCGCAATTTCGTACAAGTGGATTATGAAAGTAGGTATCTATCTCTAGATGGCTTATCAATATACAACATTCATCATATTTTAAATTTTACCATTAAAAATTCAACTGTGAAAACTGCATCTATTGTTGTCCAGTTACAATTTTACTATATTAGTCAGCAGTGAGATGTTATATTAACAATAGAGGAATCAAAGGAATGAAGATTTATTGCCTTTATATTATTAATATTAATTTAATTTAATTTCTCGCCAGCTGTTGGAATGACGTTATTTAGTAACTTATTATAAGCATTATTTACATAGGTGCAATACAAGAACAATAAAAGATGTACAAATTAAGAACAAAAGATTTTTGATAGTAATATATTTTTTTATTTTTCCCTAGGAAATCTATAAAGGTAGTAGTAGTAGTAAAAATCTTTATTGTACATAAGTCAGATTAAATACTAGTAAATGATTTAGTATACAATGGCGGACTTATCCCATAAAGGGATCTCTTACAGTCAACCTTTGAGAAGCTGAAAGAAAACTGTAGAATGTATAAGGGTAATAACCGTACAATTAAAGATAAACTAAATAATACCCAGTAAAAAAAAAATGAATATATAACACAATAAAAACAGCTCTATATACCTACATATGTAAATAATAAAAGTAAATTAATAATAATATAACATTAATAAATAAAAACTTATACACATACACATACATATATACACATATACACACATACATATACATATATATATACATACATACACATACATATATACACTCCTACATACACATACATGTATACATAATAAATACATATATTCACAATTGGCTCAATGAAGAGGGATTTTCAAAATAAAATTTTATGATACCTGCTTTAAAAGATTTCAGCGACTGTGCCATCTTTAAGTTATTAGGAAGTGAATTCCAGAGACGTGCAGCATGTACAGTAAATGACATGGCATAGCTTTGAGTATTAAAACAAGGCAAATCTATAATGAAGTCATTACTGCATCTCAGGCGAACATCAATTTCGCGAAATTTGAATCTTTCCTGAAGGTAATGTGGACATGTTGGATTAAAAAGGATATTGAAAAGAAGAGTAAGAATGTGGACATTTCTCCGTAGCCTGATATGAAGCCATTTGAGTTGACTGCGATAACTAGATATGTGGTCATACTTTCGAAGGTTATAGATGTATCCAATACATTGATTTTGCAGTCGCTCAAGTTTATCAACAAGCTCCTGTGTGGGATCTAGGTAGGCAACATCAGCATAGTCTAGAAGAGGAAGAAGAAGAGATTGAGCCAGTAAAAGTCTAGTTCCTAAAGGGAGGAAGTTCTGCAGGCGCTTTAAGGAATGTAGTGATGCGTGGATTTTTCGACTTACTTCACCTATATGAGGACCCCATGACAGTGTCTGGTCTATAACAATTCCCAAATTTTTAACAGTAGTGGAATATGGGATTATTTTTCCGTCATAAATAACGTTGGGAACTGTTAAATACCGAAGTTTAGCAATAAAATGAGAACTACCCATAATGACCGCTTGAGATTTATCTGCGTTAACTAAAAGCCCAAAATCCTTCGTCCACTTAGCAATTACGTTCAAATCATTATTAATTACATCTACAGCATTAGTAAGGTTGTAGATGGGAGCAGCAGTATATAATTGCATGTCGTCTGCATACAAATGAAATGAAGAGAGGAGAGCAGACGTAATTCCGTTGATGAAAATTGAGAAAAGTACAGGCGAAAGAACTCCACCCTGAGGGACACCTGCATTAATCGCGCACCAGTCAGAACAACAGTCATCCACACGTACCAATTGGCGCCGGCCAGAAAGATATGATCGGAACCATGCCAGAGCCAATGATGAGAATCTAAATTTGGAGAGAATGCCGAGAAGTACATCAAAGTCCACAGTATTAAAAGCACTGGTAAAATCAAGTAGCACTAATATTAAAATATTCTTTTTGTCAATATTAAGTCGAATATCCTCAGTAATTTTTAGCAGTGCAGTAACCGTGCTATGACCGGTACGAAAACCAGACTGATACTGACTCAAGAGATCATTACGATAAAGATATTTAGTAAGGCGTCGATGAACAAAATGTTCCAATACCTTTGAAGGTACGGGAAGGATTGAGATAGGTCGGTATTCCGAGAAAGTAGACGGATTGGATTTTTTAGGGAGAGGAATAACATGCGCCAGTTTCCAGGATGTGGGAAAAGTACCAGTAGAAAGAGAAAAGTTTATAATGACGGCTAATATATGTGCTATAAGATCCTTGATAGGATCCAACATATCCAGACTGATATTATCATTGCCCACTGCCTTAGATTTGATAGAATTCAAAATGTCTATTACCTCTTGTGATAATATAGCTCCCAACTCAAATAAGTCTGCATCGGAACATACACTACAACTACCGGCTATCTGTGCTAGTGTAGACTGTTTGGTTGCAGGATCATAGTACAGTTCATAGGACAGTTCTCAATTCCCGAATGAACATACTTTCGTCTAGCAGCCCTACATAGTTTGCTGCACTTGTTACGCAACTGCACGTATCTATCACGCTCTACCTCGGAAGGATGATGTCGCAAACGTATTTTAGCTCTATCCCTAAGTGCCATAATTTTTTTCAAGTCGTCTGTTAACCAGGGTGCAGGTAGATGTCTTACCCGAACTGGTCGAAGTGGGGCATGCTTATCATAGATTGTCAACAAAATTGAGTTGAACACTTCCACTTTGGAATCAATATCTGCCGCAGCCTCCACCGCAGCCCAATCCGCACCAGCGACATCGTTCCGAAGCGAAACGACATCAACAGTCTTATAGTTGCGCAACATCATAACCCTATATTTACGTTTTGGAGGTCTTAATTTATATGATGCGAAGACAAGGTCATGTGCTGAGAAAGCTGTTGCATTGAACTGTCCATATAATGAACACATTTCGGGTGAGGATGTAATAATATGATCTAGTCGCGAGGGAGGACCATTATGTGGATAGTGAGTGGGGCCAAGAGGAAGACAATGCAGGTCAAAAGATTGAAGAAGTGAGAGAAATTTATTTGAGCGATGATCATTTTTTATAATACAAGTATTGAAGTCACCCATTAAAATAAAATGCTCAAATCGTGGACAAAAGTCTGTCAATAAAGCTTCTAAAGAATTGAAGAAATTTACATGCAAAGATGGACTATAGTACACACCCAGCAAGATTTTAGTGTGATGCAGTGAAACTTCTAAGAATAAATGTTCAGGCGTCTGCGCAATTGACTGAGAATGTGATATTATATTGCATTCGATATCACCCCGTAAGTAGATCGCAACACCGCCGCCACCCACCATTCTAGAACTACTATTATTGGACACTAAATATGTCCTATCATTACGAAGCAGTCGAAAGCCAGGAAGAGGATAAAGAGTAGAAGGCAAAGACGGCTTCAGGAAAGATTCAGAGATTAGAATGGCGTGGATGTTCTTACACTTGAAAGTAGAAAGTAGGTCCATGTAATGAGCAGGTAAACTCTGAGCATTGATGTGTACTACATTAAAGTTCTTATGTAACGTCGCGAATGTTATATCTAAATTATCAGTTAGAGAAGGCATATCACTGATGTCGCTCTCAGCACTAGAAAAAAGATCATTTGAAGATGACAATGAAAAATATTCTAAATAGGTATCATTATTTAATACATCTGACATTGAGCTGATATATATATATATAAATAAAATAAATATAAAATATAATATAAAAATTATAGTTATTATTATCTAGCAACCTAAAACTAAATACTACACTACGATTATTCCAGTTTTCCTCAGCCACTCGCCAGCCAATCAATCCAGAAATATTGGTAAATAATCAAAATATACAAATCAAATCAAAAAAGAAAATAAAGAAAAAAAAATGATCTATTTTTTTCTTCTTCATTCCCCTCTCTAATTAATTTAGAATAATATAACTGTTACAATATAGAAAATGAATAACCTCTCCCAACTAATCACTATGTATACTGGTGCATACCTAGTATATATTTTTTAATACAGAAAAAAGATCATTAAAGCGAAGATAACATAATAATAAATAACAGCAAATAAATTAGTGGAAATATTAAAAATAAAAAATAAAAAAAAAAACCCACTGCTGCATCTTAAAAATAAAAAAAGGTAACAATTTATAATTTTTTTCCTTAAAACATATTTACGTACACATAAGCAATATTGGCATAAATAAAACTAATAATAATAAAAATAAATCTTACCTAATCATAGTTAAAATATTTGTTAAAATCGAATAATAAAATTGATTAAAATTTCTACTCAATTTAATAAGAAATCATAAAACGGAACGCATAACAACATATGTTCACTATCTATGATTTTACCGCTACCGGCTGCGTTGATGACTTTGACAACCACCTGTCACAAGAGCGTCTATGTTGTTGTTGTTACATTATTGAAGTTAATATTTTTTAAAATGATGGTGGATAAAAATAATAATGAAAAATTTTAAGATTTAGATTACTGTTGTAAAGTGATGAGAATTGAACGGTATTTGACCTACTTATTTGGCGCTTTCGATTGCATTCTGGTACTGCGACCTTTGTTCAGTCTTGCTGCTGGTTCTACAGATGACTCAGATATCTGCACAGTGGTTTTCTCGGCATTCTTGATCGATCGGAGTTCAGAGATGGATGTGATTTTTCGACGGGAACCATCCGGACATACAACTACTATTTTACCACCATTCGTCCAGCATCCCTTAACACCCAGGCTCTTACGAGCCTCCAAAAACACAGCATGTCGCGAAGCCGTTAGAAACTCGGTGACTGTCAATCCAGTTCCCTTTAACATCTTCTTTGCCTCCCACACATTTCTTCTAGTGTGATGGTCTAAAAATCTTATGAGGACAGGACGTGGTTTGCCTGTAATTATATTGCTGCCAAGTCGATGACATGATACCAACACTTGTGAAGAAATATTATGCAAATGAAGCTTATCTTTAAACATTGTTAGAAGCTTATCAGATATATCCTCATCTCTGCTCTCAACCAGACCATGAACAAGGAGTACCTTGGCACGAGCTCTCATTTCACTGTCATCTAGTAATTGATGTACTAATTTCATCTGTGCATTTAAACCAGAAACTGTCTTCCACATCAGTGATTTAAAATTTCTGAACTCACATGCAATAGACGCTGTGTCCTTAGATTGACTCGTACTGCCAAGGGACTCCTCAAAAGCTGACATCTTCTCTGTGAACATGGCTGTCAATTCATCCATGCCTTTTTTCAGTTGTGAAAGGTAATCCATTATATATAATTAAACTTTTTGATCTTGAATAAACTAGATATGTTTTAATAATGTTGAAATCTATTAGCTGGCGACTGACTAAAGATATACTTTATATCATTTATAAAAAATAAACGTAAAAAATTTAATATAAATAATTTTAAACTCAAAAACTTTGCAGAGCGTTTTTAAAACCTGTTAGTCGGTTAGTCCTACCCACCAATCAAAAGGTTTATTAAGAGTTCCTTATACAGTGCATATTAATTCATTGTAAGCCCATTTGAAAATGAGAAATATTGTACAATATGCTATTCATTCCTCTACCCATTAATTTCCCTTAATCGCCTCTTACGACACACACGGGAAAGAAGAGAGTGACGAATTCTTTTTTTTATACCACTGAGGTGGAAAACAAGCATACGGCCCACCTGATGGTAAGTGGTTACCGTAACCTATGAACACCTGCAATACCAAAGGTATTACGCGTGCGTTGCCTGAAGAAACCTCTTTACCCCCCCCCCCCCTTTGAAGAACCCCATGCTGTAGTCTCTTGGGAAAACCTCGACAGGGAGTTCATTCCACAACCTCAGTGTTCGTGGGAGGAAACATTTCTGAAACCACGCAGTACGCGACTATTGAGGCTGTAGGACATGAGGTTTTGGCTATATCGGTATCAGTCAACAGATGACATTATTTATTCCATTAGAGATTATAGCCGTTATATATACAGCATATTGTTTTTAAGTAACAAGTAATAAATAAATACACCTAATAACTATGATATGAAAATCACTTTTTAATATTATAATAAGGATTTCCTCTCGACATTGTCATTAGACTGTGATACATGGATAAGTCAAATACAATGTCTTACGATAAATTATGATAAATTAAGAATTTTTATTATCGCCTTACTTAACTTACTTAAGAATACTTACTAATATACTTAATACTTAAGAACACTAATGCAAAAAAGCAAATTATGTACAATAAGTCTATATTTATACTGAATTAGGTGTTATTTTGCGGAAGTCCATATGTTGGTTTGTTCATGGTTAGTTGGCGAAAAAAATTAATTATTTAGTTCAAATTTTGGGATACATGTTAATACTAGCATAATTAAACAAAATAATTTTAATCAATTAATAAGCAATCTATAATTATATTTTTGAAATGTTTTTAAACAAATATTTTATTAAAATAATAATAAATGTGTATAGTTTAAAATGAATATATATTATATAATTCTAAATTAATATACAATTAAAATAAAAAATAATATAAATTTTATTAAGTACTTAACCCATAGAGGTGCATTTATATTACAGCGACATTTACGCTTACGTTTAAGCTTTATACTCGGATAGCAACATATATAATCCAAATATATATTAATATAAATAAAAGAAATGAAATAGGTTTATGATTCGCGATTGTTTAGATAAAAATAATTGATAATTATTATAATTATTCTTACCAGATATTTTATGAAAAATCTCCTCCTTCACAAAGTAATTCATATTGAAATCCAAAACATCCTCTAATAAATCCATTGTTAAATCTTGAACTCTTAATCTTAAAAGATCTTTTTTATTCTGTATCTGTAATTTGGTCCATACTCGTCCAGCGATGGCTTCCTTTGTTTTTGTATTATAATTAGTTGAGAAATTTCTATTGTTTTTTAAAGCACTTCGAACGATATGACTGAAAGCTAACATTGCTGTTATACTACGAGAGATTCAATATGTACTGATTACTTGCGTTCTTGAGAGAAAATGAAATAACACTCTCATTAAACTATCTGTCTCTACACAGATACTTAAATTGATATTACAATACAGTCGAGATCTTTGAACTGTTTAAGCCAATAATTCTTTTTGCAATAGGGGTCACTTCCATATGGCATAGCATATATATTTGTATTAAACAATGTAATATAGAAAAGTAAAATTACCCAATTTACTTGATATGGCAGGACAGGATTATAAATAATGGAAACTGACGTTTCAAGCCATCTTTATTCAAATAGACCTGTTTAAAAGCACTTTTTAATCGTTATATATTTTTTTAAATCGACTGCAGGGTTCGAAAAGTTGTTATCTGCTGTAAAGAACCCGCAAGAACTCGATAGTTACTCTTTATATTCTTGAAAATTATCTGTTTAATTCTTGATGAATTCGTAGACGATGGGCCAACTGGCCTGTTTTCATCCGCATCTATCATCCCTCACTGATACTCCGCCAGCTCATATCGATAGCGTAAACGGGGTTACCAATCTATTATCAGCTATTAAAGAAATAATAAGGTGGTTTTGACAATGTTCCAACTGTCGAAGAAAGGTGAACAATATTTTTCTAGTACAATATATAACAAAATTGAAATCTTTAACAGAAGGCGACTTTGTAAAGGAGTCGTCTGCACGAGTCAAATGAGCCCTCAGTTTGTTTGTCATTCCTAGTTCTATAAAAAAAAAATATGATATGTATTTCACTACCAATAATATTATATTATCTGTATTATTAGCTCTCTTGGAAAGGGAAATTTTATAATTGTGGTAATTATTGTATACCTAATGAAAGATTCATAAAAATCTATTAAATACTTACTCACTATTGTACACGTACATATCGTAGACGACCACTTTAACAACTACAGAGTAGTGTTCCTTTATTTTTTTCCTAATAAAACAAACTATCAAGTAACAGTAACTTTTATTATGAAGGTACATTGTAATTATAATACTAAACTTAATACTATTATGATTATTAATTAAAGAAGACACTAACCTAGGATTATCGACAAATATTTGTGTTACTAAATCCCTTGAATGTAGGTATGAAAATACTAATATTTTATTAAAAAAATAACACAAGCAAAACTATTATTATTAGAGCTAATAAATCTTTTATAATTTTAGTTTTTCAGTCGAACTTACAAGCAAAAATATTCCTTATAGGAATTTATTGAAACAAAACTAATCTTGTATCAATCACTTTGATTATAAATTATAAATTAACATTACAAATAAAATACTAACATTTATTATAAAACTAATAAACATTCCAATTGGCCTTACAAGCCTTACGAATCCTTGTGTGTAATCTTACAATCTTACAACAAGCGCTCTAGTTTTTTATTAAAACAAGATAAGAAACGTTCTCTTAATAACATTGTCATTAAAACATTATTAGACTTGACGTTTTAACGAAAAATATAATCCCATAAATATTTAAAAGAACGTTTTGCAAAGAATTCAGATTCATTATCCATGATATAAACATTTATTTTTTAATGAAACGATATACTTGCTTGAGCCTGTTCCTGGTAAAGTTAAAATATGCCCGAAAATAGCTATAGTTTGTGGAAAAAATGTCGTTGTCTGAGATGAGTTTTTCTTTTAATTTGACACTAATGGTTTTTTCTCTTGATCCTTGTAACTGTCTTAATTATAATTCTAAAAAATTTTCCCAATTGAGGCTATTTTGCATTCAAATATTATTATTGTTTTATTGTGTTATACATTTATATAATTTTGTAATTACGAAACTACAAGAAAATTAATATATGTATACAAAATGATTTTCAAGTAACAAACTCGAAAACTCTTTTTCAAATCCGAAATTTATACTGTTCAAGTTGACAGTCGAGTTCATTGGCATTCTTTTTTTATTTGTATAAAATTATTTATAAAAAAAATATTTTTTTTATTTAATTTATTCTATTTTATAAACCATATATTTGCATGTAGGTGGGATGTCAATACCATCGAAGCTAATTCCAAGAAGAGATTCTATTTTTTTATAAGGCGTTTCAAAGGCGGTGATCCAATGTCTTTCTTTACCTATCTTCTGTGATTTTCGAGAAGTACACCAAGCACCTGCCAGGGGTATATTGAGTTGCTTGCAAATCAGTAGTCTGTAATATATCAATAAAATCAAAATATAATTACAAATTATGAATATGCTAGCTTTAACCTGTATCTTCGTTCGCACTCACCGACATAAAAAGTAGCCTATATGCTTCTCCATCCCATATAGTGTATACCAGATTTCATAGTGATTGACTAAGCCATTAAAACGACAAGAGGTATGAAGCTCATTTTAACATCAATTTATTATAATTACTTACTATTGAATTTATTATTTATTTTAACATTTTTATTATTAAGGATAAGAATAATCATTACATATATAATATCCTTATGAATAAGGAAACATTTGCATAACTTCCACAAGTTTTTATTAAATTCTATTTTATGATCGATTTCGCCGAATCAAGACATTATTTTGTCTTACGATCATTATAACAATCAGTGAAGTCGATTCAGAAACACCATTTATCTAAAATTAAAATTTTAATATAATGCCACAGCAAAACATTTTTTCTAAGGTTTGATATAAACAAAATTTTTAATATATTGAAGTCAAAACTACTGTAAATTAAGTTTATAATGGTCCATAAAATAGTAATTTCGCGAAGCTATCAAATTAGAATATTAGATTAAGAGATCGGTTCAGAGAAGTGGTGCCTTAGAATCGACCGCAATGGCAGATGATATAAATAAAAATGACAACGTGGCGGATATTAGAAAAACAGACGATACCAGAATTAATATTTATGATATATCGTGGAAATTATTTTTATGTATATTTTAGCTGATATTGATATATGTCAGCTAGCAGAAGCCAACATTTGCCATTAACTATCCACTGTTGAACATAGCCTCCCCCTTGGTAAGTTTTGTCAGTAGTTGCCACGCTTGATAGACAGATTCGCGATCGCAGTCAGGCTTTGCTGATGTTTTAAGAGGAATGTCTCTGCCTATCTCTCGATCATTAAATTCCCTTAGTCATCTCTTATGACACCCACGGAAAAGGAAGTAGTAGCCCATTCTATGTCGGGAACAAACGGCCAGCCTAAGATACTATCTACTATCGAATTGCAGCTTAAACTACAACACTAAAATTGTTCAATTTCACAGTTGGATTTATTTACAAAATTATTGTGACTGTCTTATATGCAATGTAGACGGTGGATGACACGTTTGAAGCTAATGTAAAGAGTTTATAGTGCAATATTTAATAATGTACTAACCTAGCTTCCTCTTCAAAGAGAGCAATTCCAATTGATCTATATTCAGGATGAACTATCATCCCTAAATCTTCCAAATAACAGTTTACATTGTAAGTCCTCATAACATCTGCGATACCATACATTTTGTTGAAAGTGGTCAGAATATGGACATATCTTTTCATTGCTTCTGTTTTTGCCTATTAAACATATTAATTAAAATAATGTTATAGTCTTTAAAGAAAACACCCATCAGGCAAAACAAGTCAGATATATGTTGTGATGTTCATCATGCAATCGATATCTGTGAACAATGGTTCTACTTTTCATCGGGTGCACCATTTGCTTGTTTATCACTCTAAATTGTAGAAAAAATTATAAAAAAACTGCTGTAAACTCACTAATATTATAAATGAGAAAGTTTGTAAAAATGGGATGTTTGTTACTTAATCACGCTTAATTGGCTGAACAAATTTGAATTAAATTTAGTACACGGGTATATTATATCTCAATTTAATTACTTTATTGCAACTTGCAAAGACCAACAAGGCAACGTTTGTAAAAAATACGAGTATACCTACTATTATATCATCATCTGTATCTTCTACTGATGTAATTAATTTGGTCATAGAGGCACCAACTATTTTTCCATTACAATTAGTTTCGTCATCAATTATATAAAGTTTTGTAATAATCGATGGAGACTTGAATATTTCTGTTGAAATTTCTCTGTACTCCTTCATAGCTTCTGGATCTTTAATAATACCTAAATGGGAAAGAAATCTATCAATAAATGTGACATACCAAATTACTTTTCTTTTTATTCTCAGACTAAGATTTAACTATGAAAACAACGAACAATACTCCACTTTAAAAAAATCTAAAAACATACGTAATTTGATATATAGTATAACCCTACACTAAGCTACATTAAAGTACTACATTATATTTTTCTTCTAGAGGAAGCGACACATAGTTATTATTTATAATAGGTTCTTAAGGTATAGTAAAGAAATTAATATGATAATTCATAATAGATTAATCATTCTTATTAATAAAGAAATAAAAACTGTATTAATAGTTTATTAGTAAATTAAAGTCCAAGATGAAAAACAAAGACAACACTAGATCACATTTGTTCTAACTTGGTCAATTTTGACTAAATTTGAACAGATTGAACCATACTTGGACAAACTAAACTCTATTTTGATCGAACTAGACCAAACTTAGCTAAGCTGAAACTGTTAAATTGTTTAGGCAAATTTGGACAATTTTGCCCAAGTGTGGCTGGTGGTAATTTGATAAAATAAATAAATAATAATAAGATAAAAACTTAGGATACAATTAATATTCGAGTATCATAAGTACTCGAAACTTGTATTTGAAATTTCTATCTATTCGAATATTGTGTATACAATTTTTGAAAATTAAGTACTAGTATACATATTACATTGTAATATGATTCAATTTTCGTGAATCCGCTTACGAATTCTGAACTCCTATTTTTTTTGTCATGCTCACGTAGACTCCTATCGAGTCTCCCGTGGACCCTTCAGAGTCCATCTGGACCACTTTGGTAACTAAGGGTCTGTACAAGCGAAATACTGTTATAATAACAGTTAAAAAAATATTTATTTATGTAAATCCTTAGCAATACAAATAATATAATAATTAAAGAGTATTATTTCGTATAAACAATGAACACATCTGTATAAATTTACTCATAATTTACAAAGTCAATTAGACTATGATTTCAAATTTAAAACAAATATCTATTCACAGACTATCTCTATTACAGATCCCTCAAAATGCTTGGGTTCCAAGTGCATTTGTTCGATTTTTTTTAACTAACCTGCAATTTTGTGAGTTATCTCTTCCTTTACAAAGTAATTCATAGTGAAATCCAAAAATTCCTCGAATATATCTTGAGATAAGTCTTCGATACGCAACCTTATGATACTTCCATCTTTGCTATTTCTTAACATAAGCTTATTACAAATTTGGTCAGATTTAAGCTTCAAATTTGGAGTATATTTACGTATTATTATTTTTTTATTATTTTTAAAAGCAAACTGTACTAAACGTTTGATATTGAACATTGTCACCAATCTGTAGTTCATACCACAACACAGAATAAGGTAAATGATATTTTACGAAAAAAGACATACAATTTATTATACGAGTACCTACATATTAATATTCCATGTCTGTGCCACCTGCATTGACATTGTCCAAGTCACACTAATCAAATAATCATTTTAAACAATATTTATTATATCAATACATTCAATGGAAAATTTTTATTGGTTTTTATATTAATGATAGCTATCAAAATTTATATTATACTAATTTCCGGCTCATGTGTGTTACTTTTTTTTCATATTTGATCAGACGTTTAAGTATAATTGAGTACAAAATATCTAATATTTTTATACTAGCTGTGTTCACGACTTTTTTTTTTACAACACGGGTAAACGAGCATGCGGGTCACCTGATGGTAAGTGACTACCGCCGCCCATGATCACCCACAACACCAGCGGCATTGCAGGTGTGCTGCCGGCCACTTCGCTCGTGTATTAAGCACATATTAATTATGCACGATAAAAAAGTATCATACTTTAAATTATTTTCTTTATAGAGTAAAATCTTAATTATTACGAATCAAAATCTACGTAGTTGTAACAAGATTGCGCATTCTAATTTTAAATATTTTAAATCTAATATGACTACAAAATATCTTATCGTTCTTAATTTATAAACTTTTCGTTTAGTAGTTTTAGTAGATTTAGCAGCTTTTACCCGCGACCTTGTCCATGGACCGAATATATTTATTGACTGGGATATAAAATAGCTTATATCCTTCCCCATCCCATACGTATTTGTATACTAAATTTCATAGTAATTGGTTAAGCCGTTAAGGTGCTACAACATAACAAACATACAAATGAGCCTACTTTCGCATTTATATAATATAAATAAGATAGATTATATTGTATTATTTTTTAATTGGCAATAAAGAGTTAATAAATAAATAAAAATAAGAGGCAGAAATTGACGCAATGATTTGAGTAAAATATTACCATTTATCTGGAGTCAGAAGCTGTCTAATGTAGCGATATCATGTTTTTTATTAACCGTATTTTATTATTTATTAATACATTTCATTACTTTCAAAATAAGAAAAATAAAATTACCAGTAGAGATGGGTTGACTATGCCTTTAGCCGACTAACCGAGTCTGATCTGAAAATGACTGACTAGTCTTCCAAGATGATCATTGCTTTCGGCGATTTTCGTGCGGAATCGGTTAAAATTTTGGTTTTAAATAATTTTATTTTATAAATAAATGTAGAAACTTACGTTCAGAATCTTTGTGTTAAATTTTTCCATTAAATTACCTAAGTTAATAGCTATTTTATTACTTTCTTTGTTCCTATTCCTACATTATACTCGTATCGCCTGGAGTAAGACTGGTACAAAAAAATAATAATAAAAGAATTTACTTTACTAACCAACTTTAAAAAGAAGGAGGTTCATTCGGTTGTATTTTTTTATATATTTGTAACCCCATAACTGCGTTGCGTGCAGATTTAAAAAAAAATTTTTTTGTAATTTTTTATAATTAAATTCTTACAGGTTAGTCTCATAGAAATTTTACCAAAATCGGTTCAATTGTTTGGCTTTTAAATCAAAATAACTGGTTTTGCCATAATTGAAGTCGGCTTTTTTTTCTGTGAAATATTTTAAAAATAGTAATATGGATAAATAAGTTAAATAAAGTACCTAGTAACCTAGCTAGTTAGTGCTTTTTGCCAACTAATCGCCGACTATAAGTATTGCTGGATAGTCGGCTGTCCCCACTAGCGGGTACTTCTCTAATTATTACCCATCAATATTTATTTTGTAAAGATAATAGATGGAATGACGACCTCAAATACATTGCAAGGAGTCAGTGGATATAGGTGGCTCAGGACCGTTCCTTATAGCAGTCTATGAGGAAGGCCTATGTCCAGCAGTAGACAGATAATGGGCGAATTGATTATAATATTAATGATTTATTGTGTGGCAATCGAAAACGCTGTTACATATACAGTAAAATCTACTTGATCTTAGACAATTAGGTATATATCAATTTTTACCCGCGTCTTCATTCGAAATATATTTTTTTTAGCAGGTAGTAGATACTCGTACTTTTAATTATTAACGAGAGAATAATGTTTTTTTTGTAAATAAAACAGACCATGTTATTACCTGATAAACTAGTTTTCTGTTACTTTTGGCTGTTAATTTAAGATAAAAAAAAGGAATAATTAAAAAAAGACAAATCTAACAAGACACACTACGAAACAGTATTATTTTTTCATACTACAAAGGTGGCAAACAAGCATACAGCCCGTTTGATGGTAACGTATAGAATAATTCGTCATACTTCATCAGAACAATATTGCGTGCAAGAAAATTTTAAAACTTTTAATATAGGTACAATTGAATTGACGTGACTTTTAAAGACAAAAACCGCATCTATTAATAATAAAGGAAAAGTGAAAAATATCGAGAAATTGACACAGATGGTTCCTTTGCGTCTGATTATATTTTATCGTTCTGTGCAGTGTACACAGTGCAGTATGTACATATCGGCAAGATTCGAATTGAATAATAAATACTTTATTACGCACTAAAAGTAAAAATAAAAAAAAACTGAACAAATACGAGTCGGATTCGCACATAGAGGTTTCTGAAATTGCCCATAGCGGCAAATTGAAAGGCACCATAATTGCAGTTAAGGGCAGCTTACAAAAATATTAGTATTTTTTTACATCACAGGGGGCAAATGAGCATGCAGCTCATCTGATGGTAAGTGACTACCGCTGCCCATGATCAGATATCAGCCGTTAACTGTTTCCTACTGAATATAAACCTCCTCCTATCGAGAGGCTTTACCAGTAGTTGTCACGCTTGGTAGGCGGGTTGACAACCGCAGTTAGGCTTTGATGATGTTTTAAGAGGGATGCTGCTGCCCTCGACTACTAAATTCTTTTAGTCTTCTTTTACGACTCCCACGGAAAAGGAAGGGGTGACCCATTCTATACTGGAACCACAATTTCTAATAATTTCTTAGTAAAATCATGTGTTTATCCCACTCGTGTTTTAGGTGTGATATAGCTGTGCTTGTACATAGGGTACGAATGAATGAAAAAATGAATAAATATTTAGAAATGAAGGCGTAATACGTGTTCAAGAGCAATACCTGTGGTATTAGAATATATTCGGTGATATCAGTGATCTATAGACGATGATGAACATTTTCCATTGCATAGGTCGTCGCCTCGATTGTCATTGTTTTTGTGAAATTTTTAAATTATTCAACACATTTTAGTAAAGCTAATGTTTTGGCATGTGTAAAAGTATTGCACTAATATTCTCTAAGATTTTAAAATGAACGGCCTATTTAGTAATTAGATGTAAATTTGTATTTTGTAAATCTAAAAGTAATGAATATTTTTGCTATAGATTTTATTTCTCTTCAAATCATTCAGACAGCGCAGGCCATATTGTAGAATTATTTCCGATTGCAGTTACATTTTTTGTGTTTAATTGTTAAAAAAAAAATGTATTTACCAAAATAGAAACCTAGTCTATAGCACTCATAATATACCTTTCCAACAGCGAAAAAATTGTAAAAATCGGACCAATAGTAACGGAGATTACCCTGAACATCAAAACTCACAAATTTTACCTTTTCATAAAATTAATATAAATTATGTATGCTTATAACAATAACTTCCATAATATTCCAATGGGTTTATAAATAAGTGAAAATTTGTTTACTAATATTTATTGCACGTACATACATAAAATTTTATAAAAATACTAAAACTGATATGGATGCAAGTTTTTTACAAAAATGAAATAAAATTTCTATTTTGTATATCATTCTATTTTAATAGCCATGTATTTCCACGTGGGAAGAGAACTCTGGATGTTGACACCGAGATGGGATTCCAGCTCTTTACGGGAGATCTCAAAGCTAGTATGCCAGTTTTTCTTCGCGCATACTTTTTGAGCCATATACGTAGTACACCAAGCTCCTGTTAAGGGTATTTTATTTTTCTTGCACATCCAAAATCTAAAATCGATAAGAATTAAAAATATTACCTTTTAGGGTATAACAAGGATTAACAAGGGTTCAGTATCATCATATCATTACATCAGTCTTTAACTGTCCATTGCTGAACACAAATCTCCCCCTTAGGGGATTTTGCCAATAGTTGACAAAATTCCCTTTATAAGTAAGGCTTATTCAGCAGTGTATAGTATACAGCTGCATTATTTTAATTAAAACGAATCTTAAACCTTACGGTAAATATCACACGATACATATATATTTAGATACATACCTACACGAAAGATATAACATACGAACCTTTGTTTGGTAATCAAGTAAAATGTTATCATTTATTTCTATAGGATTTTTTTTATTGTTATATTTAGCTTCCTGTCTCGTTACATGCTATTATACGATAATTTCAAATGTCGGGGGGAAGGGATTGTTAGGAAGAGACTACCGATCCCGTTTCTAATCATAATACCATGTCATTTGAGTCCCATGCGGTTGTCCTTGGAAACTACCGTAGTTAATTCTTGATTCCTTTATCAAAATAGGTCAACTGACCCATTTTGATAAATATAGGTAAGATAAGCGCTGATTTAAGTGGGTATTAGTAGGTCCTTATCTACTAATTCTTTTGCCTTTCTATTATTACCATCGCCATCTTTCTGCTCTCATCCCAATTGTTTGGAGTCGGCGTAATACGATTTTATTCATGTTATCCAAAGTTATGCATAAGAAAAGAATAAAGGCTATATGGGGTAAAGGAAAAGGGTAGAAACTGCAATTACCTAGAGGATGCTGGTCAGAAACTGTAGTAGATTGGGAGGCCAGCGTAGCATTACTGTGGACCTCATTCTAGAACTAAATAAATCACTAGAGGAGGGCGTTTCTGGCACTCCATTCCTTTATCATTCATACATAGATAGACAAATACTTTTTATTGTTTCTTTCAAAAGTTTGCAGTTGTAAATATATTATAAATACAAACAATTACAAAAAATGATCACACAGAAAAAAAAAATACCTGGTTTCTATTTCATAGTAAAACATTCCAAGTGTTCTGTAATCGGGATGAACCGCCATACCCATGTCTTCATAATAACGGTCCACATTGTACTTCTTCATAATATCCTCGACACTAAACAATTTGTTATATATAGATAAAATATCCCTATATCTCCTTACTGCATATGTTCTCGGCTGTTAATAATTAAAAAATTTAACTAACTAATGATTTATATTATTAAACTGTTTTTATTAATTACTGGTAATAAGCAAAAAAAAAAGCAATTTAGAAATCCTATTTAATATTTTCGTAATAAAAAATATTAAATATTTAGTCATTTGATATCGTTTTTTTATATAGTAATTAAAGGATAAGATTAATAAAAATAATAAACATTTGTATAAAAACTTACAATATACTCATACAAGTGACTAGTATTCGAGTACCGTAAGTATCTACTCGAAACCTAAGTGCCTAGCATAAAATATTTTTACAAATTTCGTGATCGAATGCAACCCAAACTTGATGTTAAGATTACATAATACATACTGTTTAAAAATATTAACAATGTTAAAATATCATTCCTCTGGGCTTTTATTTATTATAAATACATGTAAAATCTTTTCATATTAGTTTAAAAAATACGTACATGAAAAATATCATTTATATCTTCATTTGACGTAATCAATTTTACCACAGATGAAGCGACAATTTTCCTGTTAGAATCAACTTCGTCATCAGTCACGTAAATTCTTTTAATACAGGACGGATTCATATATATCTCTGATACAATTTTTCTGAACTCCTTTACAGCTTCTGGATCTTTACTGATACCTATAAGTACGAACATAATAAAGAATTAATGCACTGAAACGTGTAAATATTAAAATATTTAATAAGCTAGTATTTTGCTATTCATTACTATTAAATGCTATTTTTAATGTTCCATGGATGCAGAATAGCTATATCTGGTATCATTTGCAATCTCTTAGAGAGCCTCACATAGCGCCATCTACAGTAAATTATGTATTTCAACTAGATTGGATGATATATAGCAATATCTATATACTGAATCTATATACTGATCCATTATGGAATATATTAAAAGCCTGTTATCCAATATATTTATTTTTTATTTTAACGTATTCGAAAATAGGTTTTCGACCGATATGAACGTCAATATTCAGAGGAACTCAATATATGCATACTGATTATATATATACCCAATATCGGATCAGTATTCATATTATTGATGCCTAATTTCAACATCAATGCAAGATTGAAAAAAAAAACACAATTGAATATTTTCCATTAATTCTAATTGGCTGACAGAAATTTCGAGTACCGTTGGATAGTACTATTTGTTTAATAAGTTTGGAATGGAGCGTTTAGACTTCGGTCATAAGACCGTCGAGGCTGCGTCGCTTCTTTCGCATTCCTTCACCGTTTAGTTCCTTCCCATAGTAAAAGCTAAGACAAAGGGACTCGCCCCGAGATATATTTAAATATTTTAATAGATCCAAGAAAAAAAGAAAGACAATTGTGGATAATCTTAAAAATTTGTTTACAGGTGTGTGACTCATACTGTGACCAAAATTAATTCTTACCTGCAATTTTATGCGTAGTTTCCTCCTTTATGAAGTAATTCATGGTAAAATCCAAAAGCTCCTCGAATATATCTTCAGACAAATCCTGAATACGTAACTTTATGATACTTCCGTCTTTATTATTTTTTAAGTCCACCTTTTCATATGTTTGATTAGGTGTGGATATTAAATTAGAAACATATGCATTTTGTAATCTTTTATTAGTTTTAATGATAAATTGTGTTAAACATCTGAGCGCCAACATGGTACTGTATATGACAAATGCTATATTACAAAGTAAGCCTTGTGATATACGATATACTTTCATTTAAATATATTGTTCAAACCAGACTATACAAACAATCTTTAGAAAATAATATTAATTATCTATATTACAGAGTACAGAGGCATAATGTCTTAGTCCTTTAGCAATGGCAACGCATGAAGGGCATTGTTGGCGACACAGTATACTCTATTATGTCCATGGTACTGTTCATATCTATAGGCGACGGTTACCATCAGGTAGGCCGTCAATATGAGTAAGCCATTCTAAGTTGCATGAAAAATATTTAAATCTATTTAGAGAAATAAATAACTACCTGTAATATACTCGTAACTAAAGATAATTTTTACCTACATCTGTATTATACTAACTTTTGATCCGTCTGTGTATCAATTCTCTGTCAAATTAGTTCCGCTATTTATGTGTGAATAAATGTCTAAACGACTTTATGAATCTTCATATAATATATGCATTGAACAGGGGTTGTCGAACTTTTAAGAGAATGGAACACATATTAAATTTCTTTCATTTTATAGAATCCTATGCCAAATGATTACAAAATAAAGATACTGCGATTTAACTAAAAACAAAATCTATTATAAGAAATATTTAAGTATACAAGTAATGAATTCCTCTCATCAAATATTCTGCGCTAATTCAAAATAACATTTGTGGTATTATTTAATAGCAAAAAAATAAATAATTTTGTGGAACCTTGTTTTACTCAACTAAGAATGGCAAACAAATTGAAGGCCCACCTAATGAAAAGTAGTAACCGTCGCCTATAGACATGAGCAGTACCATGGACATAAGAGAGTATACATGTTTCGCTCATGATACTCCCCATGCGTTCTCAGACTGAATCTTAGTTCATAGGACTCAGATGTTATTCCTTTGTACCCTGTATATTCACTGTCAATATCCCAACCTTTAAACTGAAACACGGCTATGCAAATACAACTGCTTCACGATAGAAACACGAATGCGTAAGAGGTGCCCAAGCAAACGACTTTTGTACAAAGTTGGAAAAGTCACCAAAGTATCAGAAAGTATTTTGGTGACTTTTCTACGGAACCCCTAGAGAATCCACTATGTAGTCTACGCACGTGTACACCTGCGTACATACGCATGCATTGTTCTATGGCTCACGCGCAATCCAAAGCTAAAAGTCTAATATATACCTATTCGAAAATACAAACCCTACTTTTTATACTATTATGTTGGTAAACAAGCATATGACCCATATGATTGTGAACGGGGTTACTATAGCCTATGGACGTCTGTAACATCTGGAAAGTTACGCGCGCGTTACCTGCGTTCGGGAATCATAGAAAGACTATTTATTTTTACTTTTATATATTATTATTTTGAATTGTTTATGTAGCAGGGTTGTCTTCTAGGCTAAATAGACAATTGCTAAAGTTTTAATTTTTAAATCTACACCCTATATCTATGCATGGGTAAAATGAATACCGATCCGATATCTATATATCGGGCTCCTCTGGACATTGATGGTGAAAAAAAGGTCATCATCTATATCAATATCGCCAATATCGGTCAGATATCTCGTTTCTAATATGTTAAAAGTCTATTATGCAATATTATTTTTTGAGTAACAAATTTTTATCATATACTGGCCCAATATGGCCCAATAACCATATAAAATATATAGACATTGCTATATATTACCCATATCTAGCTTTATCTCTGATTCAGAGGGAGACTTTGTACAAAAGTCGATTGCTTGGGTACCTCTATCCATTCGTGTTTCAACCGTGAAGCAATTGTGTTTGCATGGCTGTGTTTCGGTTTGAAGGTGGGATATGGCGTGAATTTACAGGGTACAGAGGAATAACACCTGAGTCCTCAGGAATGGCAACGCATGGGGGTATCATGGGCGAAACAGTATACTCTGTTATGTCCATGGTACTGCTCATATCTATAGGCGACGGTTACCAGTTTCCATCAGGTGTGCCGTCAGATTGTTTGCCATTCTAAATCGTATAAAAAAAAAAGTTAATATGTTTCTCATTTCTTAATTTCAAAATTACTCTTGTGTATATAATAATAATAATACACAGGCGTAATTTTGTAAACTGAGTTCCGCAATTTCTGCTATCAACTTTAATACAAAGTATACTTACTGTCGCAAAAACAATCATGTTTCATGAATTTGTGATTAAGTATTTAAAGCATGCACAACAACCAAACTGTGCTTCCACTGTGATGGAGTATCTGTCCGGAAGTGTAATCAGCAGAAGGTCCAGTAAATAGCTTGTATGGTCCTCGATATTTGGTAATCTCGTAGTAGGATGAACCAGTTGCGAGAAACCATAGGCTAGGGTAAACTCGTGAGTAGACATCCCCATGTAAACAGTGATCTGAGAGCCGAACCACTCAGTGTAAGGAGCATCAAAGTCTCCGAGGATCACTAAATTTGTGGGAGGATACAGCTCAAGAACTTTGTCAGTCGTCAATTGCAAGTGTTTAAAAAGTCGAGTTGTGTTAAGGTCACTCCTATAGGACCAAATACGCTATTCCGGTATCTATGCGTATTTGGTCCTATTGCTATAGGACCAAATACGCATAGATACCGAAATAGCGTGCGTAATCTATACGTATTGACAGAACTGGCAGGTCTTTATCTTCTAGACCATGGATACAATGACAACAGACGTCCTCCCAAACATAAAAACATATCCCGACACGACGTACAAATATGTGCTTATGTTTATATCTAGGGCAACGAAGATATAAAGAGTCCACCTTGCAGGATATCTGCGTCTCCGTAAGAAATAATTGGGCCGGCTTCGCATTTTCGAGGTGATGATGAATTGTGTCGATGTTAGTGTAAAGTCCCTTAATATCACAGAGGAAGAGAGATGTGAATTTTTAAAATATACTAAAAGTAATATTTTAATTGCTTTAAATATATATTTAAAGCAAGTATATAATAAAAACAAAGGGCAGACATTGGGATCGATTCTGAGATATCACTTCTCTAAACCTATTCTTTGACTTTTAATTGATAGTTTCGAGAAATTTCTATTTTTTTATTATTGTAAAATAAATTTATAATTATATATACTTAAATTTATTAGAAATTTAATTTATACTAATTCTTAGAATAAAGATTTCGCTCGCTCTGATACCAAATTGAAATTTTAATTTTAAAGATAGTTATAAAGAAATGACGTTTTAGAATCAATTCCACAGTCGCAAAACCAGGAAATCGCACCTTTATGGTTACATGAACAATGTAACAATAGCGAAGAATGTTGATAAAAGTAACATTTTATGAAATTCAAATATTAGCACAGACGGTTCTGTAAAGACAAATTACGTTTTGTTCTTGCTGATATTATAATAAAAGAAAAAGGATAGATAGATTGGTATTATTTATTTTTTCCTCCATAATATTACAATAGTAAACTTATTAGATATTACAACAGTTAGTAAAAGAGAAGATTCTCACCGTTATAATATTTGCGAATCAATATAAATTAATCATCGCTGGTATTTTAATACAGTCATGAATTATAGTGGCCAGTTTCAGAAACATAATTTATATTAAAAAAAAAAAAAATTCGTCCATGATACATTTTCGTGAAGTATATCTTATGACAAAATATTAAGTACATTTGAAACTTTGAATATAATTAATTCACCGCCATGGATATGGGCATAAAATGAAGCTTAACCTAAATTTTTAAAATTAAGTTCGTATATCAATTTTATAATTATAGTTTTTTAATATCAATCTACTTTTATAGCCATATATTTGCACATTGCGGGGGCATCTTTAATGTTTACACCTAGAAGAGATCCCAGTTTTTTATAAGATATCTCAAAGGCAGTGTCCCAGTTTCTTTCCTCGCATATTTTCTGAGATGCACGCGTAGTACACCAAGCTCCTGTCAGTCGTATTTTATGTATTTTGCACATCAGTCGTCTGAAAAAGTAAATAATAAATTTTCATTTTGTTTTGTCACTTCTTCAAGAAACCTCCATTCGGATTTCACAGTATTGGATACAAAAACATAATGTGTCCCATTCTTGGGTATAGGAACGTGTTAAATATATTATATAGCGGTATCTACCTATATATTGTGGATGTAATTGGTCAGTCAATATATATAACAATAAAATGAAGAACCTAATCGAAATAAACTCACATATTCGTTGTATAAGCCATATTGAAATAGGATAATCTTTATATTCATCTTCAATATTTATATGAATCGAATATTTAGATATCGGAGGGATATCAAAATTCACCATCCCTAATTGGTTGTAGGCATCTGGAATCACTGTCCATGTGATTATAGGGATTGATTACCGTTACCTTGTTTAGCAAACAACGACACAGAGAGGAACAATGGACAATATAAACATAGATAATTTAAAACAAAATCAACTACAAAACGCATAACGGAACGGTCTTATCCTCGGCAAAATGGCAAACGAAAATATCCGTAGATAACGTTTCCGTTAGCGTATGGATGTCTGTCTCGTTCTCTCTTACACGTGTAAGCGATAACGTAAATACCTATCAATCAACTGATTAATTTTTTTTATATTACGAAAATGGCAAACAAGTATACAGCCTAGACCATTATACCAGAGGGAGACTTTGTACAAAAGTCGATTGCTTGGGTACTTCTGTCCCAATCGTGTTTCTACCGTGAAGCAGTTGTGTTTGCATGGCTGTGTTTCGGTTTGAAGGGTGGGATATGGCGTGAATTTACATTTAACAGTTTTACGTGCTATATAATACCTGGCTTCCTCTTCAAAGTGACAAATTCCAAGCGTTCTATATTCCGGATGAACTATCATCCCCAGATCCTCGTAGTAACAATCCACATTGTACATCGACATGATATCTTCGATGCTAAACAATTTATTATATGTGGATAAAATATCGATATATCTCCTTAATGCTTTTGTATTTGCCTGTTAAATGTTAAAAGTAATAGTAAAAAACACATTGATTATGACCGCCATTGTTATTTTAATCATAATACGTATATCCAATTTATTTGTTTTTTTTTCTCAATTTTTATAATATTTTGCTGGTATATATCTGTGTGATTCTGGTATAGAATAGGCCAACACTTCGTTTTTTGTGGGTGTCATAAGAGGCGACTAAGAGATGGCGAGGGATAGGCAGCAGCGTCCCTCTTAAAACTTCTCTAAAACCTAACTGCGGTTACCAATCCGCCAGCCAAGCATGACAACTACTGGCCAAATCCCCCAAGGACGAGGCTTATGTTCAACAGTGGACATTTAAGGGCTGAAATTATGATGATATATTTGTAAAAGTATCATATATATGCCTGCAAGTTATTACAAAAAATGGCAAAACATAAATTGAGTATACCTACTTATATGTATATTGTATAAATATTTTATAATACACCTACGTGTATATTATCATCCGAGTCTTCGTTTGACTTAATTAATTTCATCATAGAGGCAGCGACTATTTTCGTTTTAGAATTAAATTCATCATCGATTGTGTAAATTCTTGTAATGTAAGACGGATGCTTGAACATATTTGTTAAAATTTCTCTGTACTCCTTTACAGCTTCTGGGTATTCACTAATACCTAAGTGTAGAATTTAAATCAAATAGTTTAGAATAAAATTTCTTATGCTTTCCTTACCAATTTCATAAATATGACTTTGTCATCTCTTAGCGGCTCAATCCATCGTCAAGAAATTGTCATATGATATATATGTACTACATAGGATGGAGAAAGACATAGGCTTCTACTCATTCTAGTTTATAAACATATCTTGTTCACTTGGACGAAGCCGTGGGTAAAAGCTAATAAATAAATAAATCTATTTCCGAAAAATCTTACCCGCAATTCTGTGACCAATTTCTTCCTTCACGAAATAATTCATTTTAAGATCCAAAAATAAATCCATTAGATCAATTGATAGGTACTGAATACCTAACCTCACAATACTGCCGTCTCTTCTTTTTAATTGTAATTTATTTATTTCTCTATTCATAGATTTTATATTATTTGCAATTGAAGTGCTTAGTAGATTTCCACGATTACTTATTGAATTGATTCGTAGCAAATGTTTTAAGATCGACATTATTATGACTGGAACTACGATCTGAATCAATGGATTAGAATGTTATTATGAAAAATACCTTATTTATAGCTGTGCGCTTGGACAAGTAATTACTAATAATTGGTACATAATTTAAGATTGTTTTTTACAAAAAAAAAAAAGACTTCAATTATAGTAATACCAGTTATTTTGATTTAAAAACTAAACTACAGTTATCCTGTTTTTCATAAGTACTGAACAGATTATATAGAATTTTTATAACAGCAATCTGTAAGTATATACTTTCAGATAAATGAATAACTTTTCAAATTGATCTATAAGTGACGGAGTTATGAGGAAACAAACACAGAAAAATACAACCGAATTAAAAATATATTTCTTTTTGAAATCAGTGGAAAATTAGTAATTCAATTAGAAATATTTTGTAATTATCCATCAGTAATAGCAATTAAAATTTTCAGACTAGACAAATTGGTTTATTTTCATTGCACCTTTTTACGACAGCCATTTCTATATTTTTATTCTTTTAATTATTTTGTCTTTATATATTTTTTTATTATTTTGTGCGTGCTATTATTTTCTTTTTCAATTTTAAAGAGAATGAAACATAAATTTGTAACTGATTGATAATATTTACTATACTCTTTTTAATAATTCTTTTTTATATGTACCTATGCCTTTTTTATATGTATAGAAAAATACAGTCGAATTAAAAAAAATCTCCTTCTTAGAATCAGTTAAAAATTAAAAAATGAGAGTTATGTACCTTTTAATAATTATGTATGATTGAATATACTTTCATTTTCATTATATAATATAATAAATAATAGAATATAATAAGTAATAACAATGTACACTTGTATAAGTACAAAGTGGTCTAATTGCTGTAAGCCAACTTTTTCAAATCTCATTTGAGTAACAGATTTAAATATTGAACAACTAGATATGCAAACAATGAAGGTAATAATAATAATAATAAATAAGATTAATAATTTACTAGCACAAGCCTAGATATCAATATAATCTAAATAGTATATAAATGATACGGTACAACAATAATATGGTCATTTTTTGCAACAGATCGCTCGAATAATATATATGTTCTAATACTGCCCGTATAAATTTTAACGATTAAAAAAAGATAAAAGCGAATCCCGTAGACACAATGATGTACAGAGTAATGATCAATTATTCTTTATCGTTTCTTTTAAATTCACAAAATAAATTAATAGAGAATGAGGGAGTCACTTTAGTTGATAAATTTAGCCATTAGGGAACGTAATAAAATTAATACAAATAAAAAAAATAAAAAAATTTTACATTAAAAAAAGATAAAAGCGAATCCCGTAGACACAATGATAGTACAGAGTAATGATGAATTATTATCGTTTCTTTTAAATATATATATATATATTATATATATATATATATATATATATATATATATATATATATATATATATATATATATATATATATATATATATATATTTATATATATATACTTACATAATTTAAAGAAGATGTTATCAAAAGCAAATGACAACCGAAATGTTAAAACCTAAGGTCAGGATCGACCACCTCTGATACTACGTATCAGTGTGTATTACCTAGGAATAACCGCTGATAAATCTAAGTGAATTAAACAAACAAAAAATCTAACAATTACAATGATATTTGAAGATGTTCAATGCTATCATTATCTTACTAATAAATTTTGTTATTAACACATATATAGAATCATTTACGTACATAATTAAAATACACACATATTAATAAATACATACATACATATCTGTCACGCCTGCCTCCTATTAGGGTAGGCATATATTAATAAATATGTGCGTATAATAGTGACTAAATGAATTTATCAATACTATCAATTTACAAATATATATTACTTTTTCTTTAGAGTTTCTATCTATATTTAAAATAATTATATTTAAATAATCAACAAAACCCCCTTATGGAGGAGGCTGTGTTCAGTAAGGGACAGTTAACAGCTAATATTACAAATAAGTTGCTATATTTGGATGTAGGTATTAATCTTAACAAAACAATATTATAGATTGTGATGTTGCATCATTATCACATACTAAAATCGCAATATATTATCAATAATTATATTTATTTTAAATTATATTAAAAGTTGAGATAATAGGTAGGTACCGAGGTAATACAAATTTGAACCATATTCAGAATAAAATAGAATCATTATTAAATTGTTTATTTTATTTTAATTCGTTATTTTTTTATTTTGCTGCCGAGTACCGTAATAAGTTGTTACCGAAGGAAGGAGATTCTAATGATTATTTATTAGGGGGAAGGAATTGTGAGTAATGGGGTTGATTTGCAGTTGATTTTCATTGTTAGTAATATACACTGTCAGGTCGACTTCCATGCGTTTCCCTATAGAAAACTTCATGATTAATTTCTACTAAATACACCACGGTGGGCTATCTGACCTAACTTTCTCTTCATACTATATCATCAATCATTGGAATCCCGCTAGCCTTTTTTATAGCGCAAACGAGGCTACTATTTTTTCAAAATGAAGAATTTCTATGACAATAGAAATGTGAAGTCACAAGGTATTGAATCAACATGAATTTATTTCTCATGATCTGTTTCACTCCTCTATATAAACTGTGATTAATTTCAATGTAGATTTTAATAAGAATATATTATAAGGTATTTCAAATATTGATTGAATTAGATACTTGACCATAAATTTATGAATAAATAATCAAATGGAAGAAGAGAACAAAAACTGTTAGTAAGGCTATCGGTATTTAGCCCTTGAATCAAGATCTGCAATGTTTGCTAGAAATCAATGAACTCGAAATCCATCAGTCAGACTTGAATCAACATTTTTCAATTTTCCAGACGTACAATAAGAATTTTCGCACAGAGAAACAACTATATACTACGTCTAGATGATTCACATTGTATCAATGCAATTTACTTGAATCAAACACTTGATCTTAGCTGCAACTACTACATAAATAGATGAGATCTATACATTCACGTGTGGTTTGTATATGTGTGTGTGTGAGTGTGTTTTATTAAAACAAATATTTGCAAAGCCAGGACGGGTCGCTAGTACTGTATGAAATAATATAAAAATATATTTAAGAGACAGAGCATCATGTCTAAGTATTTAAATATTCCAATATACTGGTAATCAGGCCTCCTAATAATTGAAAATATTGATCAATGAAACTGTCAATTCATATTCTTATTATTAATAGTAAAAAAATCACTAATAAAAATAAATTTACTTTTGCCTCTACTTAATCCTAGAAAAACCTTCTACATCTGTGATTCTTATAAAAAAAATAGGTCATGAACTTCACAAAGGCGTTTCAATAGACCTTATTTCAATGGTTAGACCTTCTAAATTCACAATCGCTACCTGATTACGGAATCAATTCACGGTGTAGAGAGAGAAATTGTTACGTTGTCGAAAATAAGGTGATTTATCGAAGGTCGAGATGGACCAAAGTACTATTTTGAAGCAAACATCAAAAGACCTTGGCATAATAAAGATTGAGTTGAAATTAATTTCACTATTTTTTCACACATTCCATGCTATTGAATTAACGCAACTTATGTCGTCACTCGCCGAGACACTACGTACGGTGCAGAATCAACAAGCACAGATGCAAACCATGTTTATGCAGCAACAGCAAACTACAAGTAATAACACAGTAAGTGGCATTGTTTTGCAACCTTATGACGAACTCCACGAATCTTTTGGATCATACATACAAAGATTGAATAATTATATTAATCTTAAAGGGGTTACAAGCCCTGTTACAAAGTTGCAAATCTTCTTAAATTGTATTGGTGCTAAATATTACCAAGTCCTCAAAAATATTACTGCTCCAGATACACTGGAAAATAAAACATATGAACAACTTGTTGAGATATTAAAGAACCATATTGCGCCCGAACCAGGAGAAGTTGCTCAACAACACAAATTCTGTTTAAGGATTAAAAATGAAAATGAATCTATCGCTAACTACGTAGCGGGACTAAAGGAAATAGGAGGAAAATGCAATTTTATCTGCAATTCATGTAAATCTACAACATTTGATACACATTTCCGTGTACAATTCATACGAGATCTTCGCAGTTCAAAAATTAAAGAAAGGTTATTACAAGAATCATCACAAACATCATTTGATGAAATAATAAGGATTGCAATGGCAATCGAAACATCCAAAAGTGAAACCCAACAAATGGGGCCAGATGTTCATATGCCCAATATTAATAAAATTTCGACGACAAAATAAAATAAATAATATTCTCGAACGTACTCATTATTAATAAATATGCTGGTTCTTTTTTGTATTTTTTATATATTAAATGTATTAATTTTAAATGAAAATACTATTTGTTGACATGATATTTTTGTTACTATTCAATTATTTTAAATTAAAAAAAAAACTATAATTGTCAATGTCTATAACGGTTTATTTTGAACACTCGTGTACTCATAATGTATGTTCACATTCTCGTAACATCCTTGTAAAACCTTTTAGCTAGCAATATATTCCTATCGATCGATCCTCACGCAATTTCCCTGAAAAATATGAATCAATTACTAATTACTTCGTCAAAATGGGCCAAATGACCTGTTTTCATCTTCATCTATCATCACACACTGGTACCTTGCGAGCTTATACCGATAGCGCAAACATGGTAACCATTCCATTATCAACCAATAATATAAAAAAACTTGCAATACACGTACTTCTGCACTATAATAATATTTTCACTGCTATATCCTGAATATTCCAGAGGTAAGCTTATATAACACTACTACACGGTGTAACGGTGCTACATTACACGCGAACATTTTTGGTGAATATTTACCTAAAATAACAATTTTTACTGTTCCTCCAATATGGACGTCGTGAAAGCTGAATCTCTGTGTAAAATTTCAAGTTTATATTTCTGGTGGATTCGTGTTTATTCAATGAATACTGTTTCACTTTTATATTACGTTAGTAACCTGTAATACTATTTTGTAAAGTCAAACTTCAAAAGAAACAAAAGAGTTTCGCTAACAGAACTG